ACAAAAGCAAAAATACCCTTCAAGTCCACTGTTAATTGTACATGTACATGTAAGTAGTGTACTAATTTTAACACTTCTCTGATACATCATTCATTGTATCACTTTAAGTTAGGCTTTGAAAGGTCCCTCCACACAATTAAAAGTATACATGTACTTAAGAAAGAGAGAGAGAGAGAGAGAGAGAGGGGGGGGGAGAGAGGAGTGAGTCAAAAGATACTTCTAGTCTTACATCTAAACTTATTCAGAAGTGATTGCTGTACATTGTCAGGGCTATCTGTTGGCATTCCATCAGGTCTCATGAAGTAAAGCATCCTTTGATGAATATTAGCTGGAGAAGAATGTCTAAACAACAAAATGAACCATATAATAGTAAAGAAATAATAAAACTACACCATACAATCACAAATATAAATCATAATAATTGCTAATCTTATAAGCTGTTGTATGTAAGTGAATTACTTTTGACTGCTGATGTCATTTGCTGTGAAAAATTGAATATTATTATCAAGAAATGCCTTTAATTCTCTCAGTTGCTCTCCTAATACAGCCAACTCCATAATGTCATAGTGACTCATTACCTGTTGAGAATAAAACCGGTTAATTAAGCAGCTGTATAGCGTGTAAGGGAGTATAGCTCAGTGGTAGAGCATTCGACTGCAGATCGAGAGGTCCCCGGTTCAATCCCGGGTGCTCCCTGGTTTTTTTTTCTTTTTTTTCCATGCCCAAATCTAAGATCAGAGTATATAGCAAATCTTTTTTTTCTTCAAAATGGCCCAAAGCTTGAACGTTACAACAGCAATTTCTTACTTTTACGTCACCGGATCCTTCATTTTTCTCTTCTATGGTAACAGACACATTCCACAGTGGACGAAGAAGACGTGCCAAGTACAAAATGAGTCCGTTGTGTTTCCCTGACAACTGTACCTCCGGACCAATCACAGGACGACCGAGAGCCCCGCCCAAAGAAGGCGGGGCTTGAACAAAACTAGAAAATGGCGATGAGGGTTGCTGCTGGAACTGATTCGGAGAAGGCCCCGCCCCGTTAGGTCCGAGAGTCGTTGGAAAAATAAAATGAGGTTCTCCTCCATGCTTGAAATAAGCCTCAGTCGCCCAGTGAGCCACCTAGCAACAAGAGGAACGCACCTAGCAACACACAATAGATCCCACGTACCTCCTTATTTGGTCTTGTGGCTAGTATGAGACACATGGCGGAGGCCTGCATGTTACCGTGGAGATGAAAGAATTCTTCTAGAGCTTGTCCTTGGCCTGATCTCGTTTGCTCTAAAATGTACTGTAACTGATCAACTGGGCGTGGCTTAGCTATGATATATGAACCCTGAGAGAAGAAACAGAGAGAGAAAGAGAATTATAGATATAGTTAACTAACATACATGTACATGTAATAAGAGTGAGAGAGAGGGAAAATTGGAAAGTAAAGGCAATAGGTAGCTAGCTATTAAAACTAGATGTAGATTAGTGTGATTCAGTCTTTATCAAGCAAAGCATTATACAAGTATAGACATAGCATAAACTATGTCTGTTAAAAACAGGTCATCATAGCAATCTGGTAATCAAACTATACTAAATATGAAATAATATATCTACTGTAGATTAAAAGAGATCTGTGTGTGAGAGAGAGGGAGAGAGAGAGATGAGAATATTAAAAGTGAATGAGTTACATTAGTAGTTAGTAGTATGAATCTTCTAGGTGGGTGAGTGTGTTGAGTGACTACAGCTGGTGGTAGTGTTGTTAGTGATTGTACAGCCTCCAGTTCACCTGGTTCTATGGACTCAGCCATACACCACGTCCTACCTGTAGAAAGACAGAGAGAGGAATCATAAAAAAAGAAAAGAAAATAGGAAAGTTGCTCCAATATCCCAGTATTATAGTACAGGAGTTTTGGCCAAATTTCGCCAAAAATAACTAGAAAAGAATTCTCAATTTTTATAATTTTTTTCTGATACACGTACTGTACATGCTCTGTAGCAAGTTTGAGCTGATTCTGATAAAAATTAAATCTTTTATGAACTTTTAAAGCTGCTCCAGATGCCATATTATATGCTTGTCAGCTCATGAAGCTCATGCTGTTTAGCTCACTTAGCATGCTTTGTGGGAAACACTGATTCCTATGAGCTGATCCTGATCAAAATTATATTGTAAAGTACAAGTACATGTACACCATTTACAGTACATGTAAATGTATTAGTTACCATTAAGTGGATAATTCACAAAAGCCTCCACAAGACTATTCTGAAACGGATACAAGTCAGGATCAACCAACCATATAATATCCCTGTCTTCAGCTTGAGAACTAGCCAAGAGGAGGCACCCACGTCTATAGAAGCCCTGATGGACTGTGGGACCGGGTTTAGAGGCAGCGTTAGAGGGGGAGTAACCAGGGGGGAGGCGGACGTGGACGAGGGAGAGGAGGGAGGGACGCTGGGTCTTCCCTTGGGGAGTCGTAGTGAAATAAAGCCTAACACCAGACTAGAGACAAAAAATAAATAAAATAATAATATTTTTAAAACTATACATGCACACGTTTATATCGTGAGCAATAGCATGTACATTGTACATTGTATATTCTTTCTTTACTTTAGTTATGGCCAGTAGGTGAAGTGTGAATGATTCAGCTAGTGGTATCAGTGATAAATGAATGATTCCATTAAAAAGAGTCTTATCAGCAATCCTATGGCAATATACCAACACATAAAAATTTTTTATTTCATTTTATTTTATATAATTTTAAATAAAGATTTTAAATCTTATTTTATAAGACTACGAATTCACTCATAATATTAATACAAGCATGTGCAATGATAAATTAATAATAATAATAAATAATTAATTAATTACCTCATAGTGTTGCAGCATTTCCTTACAATAGTATCAAGACTCATAGAGGCAACGTAAGAGAGTCCCATACCATCAACATTCAGATCATACACCTATGGTATTAATAAAATCACGATACTATTATTAGTAACAGGTCAATGACGTCATAGAGACTGTTACTAAAAATAGAATCTGACCTGAATCGTTCCGTTTTGACTTCTCGTGTATAAAATATTGCGGGAGCTATCCTCCACTAGTTGAACCAATGGGTCTATGATGTAACATGATGTAATGTGATGTAATATGATGTCATGTGATGTAATAGAGTGTTACCTTCATCAGAGAATGAGAGGAAAGAGGGTACAATATAGGAGAGGTAAGATGTGGAGTGGTTCACTTTATAGCATCTCTTCTTGAACCAGCCATCTTTAGACTGAGGGGGAGAGAAAAAATACATGTACATGTACATGTACTATATGTAGAAAATTTTTAAGGATATTTAGAATTAATTTAAAGAAATTTTAATCTTCTTTTAAGCAATTGCAGGCCAAGTTTCATTAAAAAAATTAAATTAGAAAATAGCATTTTAATGGCTAATTGGAAAATTAAAAGCTCAGAACATTGTACATGTGTCTTTTGATGTACTTGTACATGAATTAAGATTTAGTAAAACCATTTTTAGCTTCGTTGAAATTAATATATTTTTATGTTAATATATAATAAACATGTAATTCGGGGTTTTACTGTTAAAGATCTATTACTAAATTCACTGAAAGCTTACTTGATAGACAACTTCATAAAGGCAGCCATCTTTACCAGCGAGGAATACCCTACCAGTACAGGTACCCAGTACAGCAGCCATACTGACGTTATCTGATGGAAGACAGAAGAGAGGCTCGGGAAGGAGGTGGAGCTCATTATGAGGATCAGTAGAGGTCTCTGAGAGAAAAAAATGTAATAAAAATTGGGGGTCAATTTGGAGCCATTTTTCTGAAAAAAACCATGGGCTATAGTACAGGGATTTTTTCAGAAATTGGCTGATTGTTTTAAATGGCTGTAACTCGAAAAATTGAAATTGGAATCAGTTGAAACTTTCTGCACAGCATAAGTATATCAATATGTATTAGAAAATGTAATAAAAATTGGGGGTCATTTCTGAGCCATTTTTCGGTCCAACCATGGGCTATAGTACAGGGATTTTTTCAAAAATTGGCTCATTTTAAAAAATGGCCATAACTTCAAAAATTTAAGTCGGAATCAGCTCAAACTTTCTGCACAGCATAAGTACATCAATATGTATTAGAAAATGTAATAAGAATTGGGGGTCATTTCGGAGCCATTTTTCTGAAAAAACCATGGGCTATAGTACAGGGATTTTTTCAAAAATTGGCTCATTTTAAAAAATGGCCATAACTTCAAAAATTTAAGTCGGAATCAGCTCAAACTTTCTGCACAGCATAAGTACATCAATATGTATTAGAAAATGTAATAAGAATTGGGGGTCATTTCGGAGCCATTTTTCTGAAAAAACCATGGGCTATAGTACAGGGATTTTTTCAAAAATTGGCTCATTTTAAAAAATGGCCATAACTTCAAAAATTTAAGTCGGAATCAGCTCAAACTTTCTGCACAGCATAAGTACATCAATATGCATCAATCCTGACTTTAAACCAAACATTATTTTATTAATTTATCATCAATTATCATACCATTAAAACTAACTCCAAGTATCACTATCTCAGTGGGCGTGGTCAAGCAGAGAAGGTATCGTATGTGTTCCTGGAACACTCCCAGTTTAGGTACCACGAGTCCAACGGCTAGTATCACCTCCTTGAGACCATCAAAATATGCTAGATCCTTACTAAAAAGGAAAATATATTAATATAAATGATCCTAAATTTCATAATCAGCTAAATTTCTATGTATGCATTAGAAAAATACAAAAAAATTGGGAGTAAGTTTGAAGTTGAATTTTTGGGAAATCATGGTCTATATTTTGCTATAGTAATAATAATAATAATAATAATAATAATAATAATAATAATAATAATAATCACAACATTACCCATCTTCATAGTTCCACAGGTATATGGTGCTGTCAATGGTAAGCCAGGCTCTCTTGATGACAGGCATCAGGCCCATATCAGAGTTACACTGCATATCTGGACAAGAACATCATTAAGAATCATGACATTGGAATGAATAAAAATGAACAATAAATGGATGTACTGTATATAGATGCATACATATTACACATAATTACATGTACATTGTATTTTTAATGAATTGAAGTGTAAATTAAATATTCACATGTATTTTCTACATTAAATGTGAAATTATATGTGACCATAATTGAGAAAAGGTACCTTATGACGGATTTTGAAATTCATAATTATAATGGAAAGTATCAACCTGTGAGTGCTCTGTTAGTCTACAATTGTTTCTAGAAGTTACATGGTAACTTTTTGTATCCTCTGGAGTAATTTTATGATAAATGGAGCTTGGGAAGTTGGATTTTCTTGGCTACAAAGACAAATTTTTCAATCTGCCATAAGGTACCATTTGTCAATTATGGTCACATATATTATACTGTAAAAGATGATGTGCTCATTTGGCAATTCTTCCAAAAACATGATTGGCAGCTTTAATGTTAACAGTTTGCTATATCTCATGAAACATTAGATACGCGAGCCAAATTAAATTCAATATAATTGATAACTTACTCCAAATTTAGTTTCCTCACCTTAATAAACCAATCCCATTATACGTACCTTGTACATGTACATGTTTAGTGTCTTAATAAACTAATCCCATTAAAAGTGTATGCCCTTTATATTAAACCCATTAAACCTGTCCATATTAAATGTGGTTCAATTAAACCATGTATTTATACATGTATTATTATTCTTGATTATATGTATAATCAATATTAATAGTTACCATTTAAAATGTAATGTACTGGTTATGCAATAAGCGACAACATCACTTATTAAATTATAATTATGTATACTTTATATTATATTCATTAATGTACATGTATTAGGAGGATACTCTCAAATTCCTGGACCAGTTCCGATGGTAAAGGAGTATGGTCTACATCACCGATGAGTGGCATACCATCCAGTGATGGAAACAGAGACGAGAGAAAAGGATAATCAACATCTGACTGTCCACTTCCATTTGTGAGACCTAGAAGAGATCACGTGATTAAGGGATGGGTCACGTGATGACTTACGGTCCGATGTCACTCTAAGTAGGCCACTGAGGTCGTAGAAGCGTTGATCTGAGACCTGGTACTTGTCTACCAAACCTCCAGCACTCTCCAGAGCCTCGTTACTTCCTTGAGCAGTAGACATAATTTAAAATGGAGAGAGGTGAGAGTTTAAGCTTTGGAGGCAGGGCGCACGTGGTTTATTAAAAGGCGTGACTACCACGCCTAGCCTTTAAATTGTCCCCGGGGAAAGTTAGATCTAATTTTATAGCGGGGTCAATTATGTGGTTTAAGGTGTGGCTCAAAACCGTTCAATAATAAACCAATAGCATAGATATTAAGAGTACATGAAATTTATGCCAATAGGCATAGATATTAGAGTACAAATAATAATATTTATTTGTACTCTAATATCTATGCAATAGGGGTGTAACTTAAGTAACCAAACTTATTATTATTAATAAACTTTAAAGCACAATAGCAAATGTGTTAAGGAATATCTTACATAATACAAAATTATCAAAAATTTATCACACCACTTTTACAAAATAGACAAAAGAAAAAATTCAATACAAAATAGTATTAAAAAAAAATATATATATATATATATATATATATAATTATTATTTTGAAAATTATGCCATCAAAAGACCCTCAGCTCCTTCTCTAATGGCAGTCATCAGAACATTATTGAACTGCTCATAACTTTCACACACAGGAAGACAGAGTTGATTGAAACTATTATAAAAAGAAATCATTAGAAACTCAAACAACCAGGTATTACTAATTTGGTAATACTTCATGTTTGTTGCAATATGCAAAGGGTAGCTTAGCTGCATGATGATTATGCAGCATGCAACATGCATTGTTACCCGTAAACAAAACATAGTTTCATGTACTTAGTAGTATCTATCTAGTTTGAGAAGTGCATAATTCAGTATTACCATGTATGAGCATAAGGTAATCGATTTCCTGTCTCTCCACTAAGTAAAATGGTAAATTTTGGTTGCAGCTCAGCAAATCCTCCAACAGGAACTTGAGAGCTCCCAGTTACAAACTGTACAAGTCTGGCAAATTCTTCCTGAGATAACTGATCTACTGATGTCCAGAACCACTCAATAGTCTGTCCACTGACATTGTTATTAGTGTTGAGGCGAAGATCTTGTACACTCAATTCTTGAAGCCCACACATTAAAAGCTACATTTATAATGATATAAATAGCAATTTTGATTATTAATAATTGACAACCTCAAGCTCATTCTCATCAAAAATGCTAAATAATTCAGTTGGTACCAAAAGGTTTAGTCCTTTTAGTGGGAGCAGAGATATAAAAAAAGTCATAAATAGATACTTGACATAATACCTTTCATGAACTCATTTATTTCTTTTAAAACACGATCTCTCAGCCTGTGTTCTGCCAATTTATTGAGGTAATCAATTTTGTTTGATTCAGTCACAGGAATTTTAGCACCACCAGAAACTAATGGTACTAACTAAAAAGGGTATGAAATTAATATACATCATTATGTTACAATGATACAGTGTGCAAATTAAGACTGAGCTAACTTTGTCCTTTTACATTAAGTGCATGCACATTGAATTCAAGAGCTTTTCACATGCAAGTATCAAAAAAGTTGTCTATTCTCTTACATTGCTTACATTGATTACACACTTACCCTGGGATTCATTGAACTACCATCATACTCTTCCTCTGCAAATGTAAGATCCATGCCAAGATCAGATATGCTGCCATTTTTGATGCATTTTATTTTACAATTGTATAAATCAGGATCATCAGTTTCAAAGTACTAAACATAAATACAGTAGTCATTAAACTATACATCATGCATGCTAATTTGTTGAATGCATGTAATGCAATCTGACAAAATCTATTGAAATTAACATAAAATTTTGAAGCTAACATAAATTTTAACACAAAACCCATTCCACAGAATAAAATCATCACCTCTACTATTGTGATAATTATATACTATGCTTACTTTCCAGGTTAATCTCAATCCAATGATTTGAGCAAGAAAGGATCGTGTAAATTTTGCCCTCACCAGTAATGTATTACCCTTTGCAGTCTCAAATAGACACTTGCCAACAATTAGCCCAGCAAAATAATAATAACGCAAATCATAATGCTCATTTCTTTCTTTATCACGATTGGGATGTACCTGTATAAAACAGTAAACTTAGTAACATTATTACATCTTATTTGCATGTGACCAAAAGTTTCCAGTCTGGTCATTATAATACAGCATATGTTTTCTTACTAAGGATTGCATGTCATTTTCTTTAAAAGCTCTGAAGAGCCCATCAGGGTTTCTTCCACTGAACATGACGTCACATAAGCAATTAAAAAATTCTCTTGATACGCCCCTACAATCAATACCTAAATATACAAATAATATATAAATGTAGATATAGCATGTCAGCAAAAATAATCTTATATGTAGAAATGATCTAGAAGTTACATAAAAGAAGTTAAATAAGTTATATAAGGTTGTATAAAAGAAGAGTATCACTTTATAGAAGAGGAGAGTACACTATAATCACCTTTTTCACTATCAAATTTCACAAAAACATCTTTTTTCCATTCATCTTTTGAAAGATGCATAGTAACATTCATGGCCTAAGAAATTAGTGAAGTCAAAAATCTCTTTTTGAAACTTTTATAAATATTTGTATTGTACTGCTTGAGAAACTCAGTTACATGTAACATAATTATTATACTGAATGCATTGTAAATCAATGAGAAGTATTTAATTGCAGCAAGAAACTTACACTTTCCAAAATTTGAGATCTATTAACATTTATGACAATTTGTCGTCTGTCATCATCATCATCATCATCATCATCATCATCATCATCATCATCATCATCATCATCATCATTCTTCATCATTAGTTTTTCCTGGAAATATTTCTTTTTGTCCTGAAATGAAATTCCACCTGTACAAAGAATTAAAATTGCCAAAAACAATTACAAGAGTAGGAAAAGATTTTTACATAGTCATCAAATTTTATTGATGATCATGTGTAACACACACTTACATTTATCAAATTTTTTCTCATTAAAATAGTAATAAATAGCAGCAATCAATTCTCTGTCAGGAGAAGTAAGTGTAAATGATGTAACACCATCATCAATAGTAAACATCTCTGGAGTCGACTGCATAATGAGCTACATCAAAGAAGTGAGAGAAAATAAGGATAAAATGAAAATTTTGCTTTAATTAAGAAAATAGACAGTACAAAATAGAATGATATCCAATATAATCTGTATAACAAGTGTAAAACTGTTTTATCACTGACCTGTGTACTACGACAGACTTTAAAAGTATACTTTTTAGAAAATAGTTTCAATTTAGTGGGATGGACTTGAAGAATCTGCATATAATAAAATCCACATAATAAAACATCAACAAATGCAACCCCACAAATACTCTTTTAAAGAGGTTCATAATTTATTTTGTACTCTGAAATTTTTAAATATTCATGAAATCAGTTAGATCTACAATAGCAACAGGCATGCATGCAGTTTTTGTGATTAAAATTCTTATAATAAACTATTTTCAAGTCCCGCAGTACTGCCCATGCAGTAATCTACATGAATACTTACTGTGGGTGATATAAAGCACAGTTTGTCTTTAGTTTTTTTGCCTTTCATCAATTTACAATTATAACCTGTGTGAAATGACGATTCATTACAATTTTTTTCCATCCTCTCAGTATCTCTATCTAAGAAAAAAGTGGAAGTAAAAAATGGGTATCAAAAAGTAGAGTTAATTACCTGTTAAAACAATAGCACTAATAGTTTTTAGTGTCTTGTCCATATACTTAACACTGCAGTGATAATAGCCAGGTTTTTCAAGTTTAACTAGGATCTCATATTTCTCTTCATCATCCAATTTGCTAACATTGTAGCACACATCAACTAAAGGAGCATCATTACTATCCTGCAAGAATAAGTATAATCAAGAGAGAGGGAAGGAATTAGGGAAGAAAAAGGTGGCAAGACTCAAATATGACTGAAATGATTCACATAAAAATTTAATGTTTTCATTTTTATGGAAAAATGATTTCTAGCTATTGGCAGGCTCACACAAGTTTGATAAATCTAGCGATATTCTTACTTTTTTTGATTCAAACACTATCTCAGCTTCATGGAGGGTAGCATTATTTCCATAAGAGTCCTTAGGTGTCATGACAATCGGAAAAAAGGTTTCACACTTCATAATAAGATTTGCTGTTTTTAATTCAAAAACAGTTTTAGTTTTATCAGGGGGACCTAAAAGGAAAATGGAAAAAGAATTAATTAAGCAGTGTCAAATGTTCTAAATAATTATAACAAAGTACATGTAGTTTCAAGAAATAGTGGTAATTGTAATTTTAATAAAATAATGGCAAAAAATTAATGTTGTAATACTATATGTATATGCCCAATAAATTATAGTAATGGATTGATACAGCCCATAGCTAAATCAAAATTTCTGCCAGGCTTAACACAAGGCTGGTAAAGAACCATAAAACTTTTTATGGTGCTGTATATATATATATATTTTGCAAAAATTGCATTTCAAAGAATTTGCAAAATAAACTATTATGGCAGACTACACTACATGATCATAAAGATGAGGAATTTAATAATTAAAAATGACGTGAAACTGACAAGAATAAAGTTGTGCAAACCATTATACTGCAGTATAAATTAACTTTTGCCGTCAAAAGTGTTGTGAAATGGCTTGAATTTTTGTAAAAATATCATTAATTATAAAATAATTGAAAAAATTTTATCTTTCTTCTTACCAGCTTGAATTATTTGTCTATATTCTTTCTCCAATGTGATTCCATTAATCATAAATTTTGCCAGATACTCTCCTGAAGTGTTAATGGTAAATGAGACAGTCACTAATGAGCATCCAACTAGTGATGTGCCTTTTCCAATAACACAATTGACAGGTTGGTTGCTTTGGGCATTCACAACATAAGCTCTGAAGTTATCTGTGCCTTTAATAGTGTAAGGTCTCCCATTATCACATACTAACTAATAAAAATGAATATTAAAGGAAAGCTAAGAGTCAGATCACATACTTCTATATCGGCAACATTAAGTTTACCCACAACTGATTGTAACTGTCTCCATATTACTTTACATTGTCTGTGATCTAAAATATCTAAAAGAAAAAAGAGAAAAATTCGGGTTATGAGAAGCAGGGGTATTATGATAGTGCAAAGGACATGAATGGAATTTATTTAAGTGCTTCTCTTTTCTTCTTACCAGGATAAACAATTCTCCATTTTCTACCCAATATTTGTTTATTCATCATAAACTTTGCCAAATATTCTCCTGAAACTCTGGCAGTAAATGAGATGGTCACTTGTGAGCGTCCAACCAGTGATCCACTTGGTTCAATAACACAATTCACTTCTTGGTTGGTTGTAGTATCAACAACATGAGCTTTGAAGACATCTGTGCTTGAGCAACGGTAAGGTCTTCCATTATCACGTACTAACTAATTATAAAAACACAACAGAAAGAGAAGTTCAAAAATAAATAGAAAAATTAGTATTCATTAATCATTATTGGCTATAGCAATATATGATTACACAGATACATTGTATAAAAACATGTACTATATCTTTAAATTACTTGAGTATAAATTTTCAATGGTACATTATTATAATACATTCACCAAATTAAAAACAGCTAATTATACTTTCTATTATGGTATAGGCATAGATACAGAGATTCAATTATTATTATTATTATCATGCACATGATCACATACATGTATATCAGCAACAGTAAGTTCACCCACAACTGGTTGTACTTGTCTCCATATTATGTTACATTGCCTGTGATCCAATACTCGAATATCTGAATAAAAGAATAAAATAAAGGAATTAAAGGTCATACACAGAGCAAGACCTTCATGTACTCTTGTATTTACAGTAAACAAGAATGTACTTCATATTACATAATTTTTTAAAATTCATCATATCGTACATGTATACATCATTATTTTTTTAAATACAGAGTACAATTTCAAAAAAGACAGTAGAAATTAGAAAAATTGTTTAAGTTAATTTGGTGCAGCAGTGTACACTTTAAGTGCTGTGTCACATGCAGTGTATCCCAATGAATAGTCAATGAATATTATGCACTCTTTCCATGAAATTTCATGAATAGGTGTTTGTACTACTACCATACTACTATAACTATGAATTAAGGCTTTAAAATAATCAAAACTTTTGATAAGAAGACACATAATGAATAGAAATATTCCTTATATTATGTATACTCTTGGTAATAGGGTAAGCTGTGATGATTACCTAAATTGTTATAAAATATATAGTGCATGTTGGTACAAGAAAGTATTTTATGTGGAAGCTACAGTAAGGAATATAACTGGTGCAAGTGTCCATTAAGAGTCTTAGGCTCTACAGTACTGTATACAGCAATTTACACAGCAATTACAAAAAATGAGGTGTGTAAACAAAGAATTCATGTCAATTTGCAATGTCTATGGTTGTGGTTTTATGATTATAGACCCCTTTAGGCGAGAATTAGTTTGTGATACCGTATATACAAAGAAATAATATTGAACGGATTTTTGTCCGCCATGTTTTACGTCAAAGTTATGCAGAGTTTCAATGGCTGATGTGCAAAGTAGAGCTGTTTTGCCAATAAAACTTTTGTTGTGCTGAACTCAGGACTATGAGAGGCTTCATATCAACTGTTCTTTACTATAGCAAGATATTTGAAGACTTAAGAAGTCTTGGAGAGCCAGAACGATCAGTTCTTGACTCTCTGTCACAGCCCAAAGAGGAAAGCAGGCTCATACAACAAGAGTATTGCACTATACTCCCTAGGTTGGCTCTCTTGGCATCTTTCTTGACTCTAGAATAGTTTTTAGCTTCAAAATGTAGTGACCAAGATCTCCAGGACACAGAAAGCACTTGCTGCTTGACGTAAAACATGGCGGCCAATTATTGTGTGTGGGTGTATACCGTAACTGAGATATAATGATTTCATTGCAAAATTAATGATATTCACAAGCTGCTACTTCTCGCCGAAAGGGGTCTATAGTTTGATCATTGCATTCATATGAATATAGTGATTCATGTATTGAAAACATCAAACAACACATCTAATGCACTATATGTTCTGACTGACTGAATTTAGACCCAAAAAAACTGGAACATATGTTTGGGATAAGCCTGAAATTCCTTTTTATATTATTATTACAAGTCATTGTATTGCATCATAATGCAGTAACTATCACTTCTGGTCTAAATTTAAACTCATAAGGGACATAATATTATATTATTAACAACACAACATCAACATATCTTGCATAGTGATGATACTTATATTTTTATTTAATATTTCCAAAAATAGTTATATAAGGCTGGTTTAGAGTTTATATGGTGCTTTAAGTGAATTTGTGTTGTGACTGGAAGTATCATAGTTGTTAAACTAATAAAATGTGTGCTACAATATCAACATAAGATTCGGCTAATCTAAGTTTAATGCATGTTGCCATTTGTTTATACAACACTAGTGACTTACAGTTGCACACATAAAGCAATGGGTAAATTTTAAACCCTTCCCTTACTAAGACTTGGTGTCTGTAGCAACTGTAGTACTTAGTAAAGCCAGTACTATCAAGAGTGGATAATTAGTTGCTACAGTTCAATGGTTATTTACACTGATAATGCAGAAAGGGGGCTGCAATTTTAAGATTAAAAGCATATATACTGGCTCCTCGCTATAAATTCCAATAATTATTGTTATACTTCATTATTTCAGTTGATATTTAATACAGAAACATACCAGCAACATATGTGCTACTTGGTCTGTCACTTCCAGAAGAACAGCACTGACTGAACCAAGACCCCATATTCAAGTCCAATTGATTCTATTTCGCCAAGCAGCAATCCAGCAACTAGATCTAACTATGGGAAATGCTGATGAAGCCGAGGATGAAACTTAATAAAAATTCATTGATTAAAATTTATTATCATAGTAGGGGCGAGTCCAAGTTAGTGCTTCTTTGATGTCGGCCAGCAATAATTATATGCGAGTATCTATGGGTTCTGGGCTTAGCTGCAAGAGGATGTCACCTAAACAGATTGAAAGGCCGCTCTTGCATGGGCGGTTGCAGAAATTTGATTTGACCTGGGCATCAATAATTAGTGGGTGTGGTTCCATACAATTTTGCAAGGAAAATGGACAATACTGATCTATAACTTCATTGAGATGGTTTCTTAGCATAAAACAACAAAGAAGCCTGCTGAACTACCACAGTTTATACTGGATGCCCACACCAGAATCATGAATATAATTATTGGTCAAAAAGTTAACATGGGCATTGCCCTCTAATGCCCAGGCCTGCAACTGCCTATGTCCTCTTGCTAACAGCCTGGCCTACGGGCTATATCAATTGATACTTAAAAACAGGAAAACACGGGCCATGATTTTAGGCTTGTCCCAATCATGTTAAGATTCAATGAAACACGTCAGAAATTGCACAATAGGTAATAAATGAGAAAAAAATCAGTGAACAGTAGAGAACAGTAGAGAACAACAATCAAAAGATTTTCTGTCATTAATGTTTTACACTCTTCAAACCTAACACAGAAAAGTAATATTCATAATTTCATATAATGTGAAAGTAGCGGCGCCTTACATTGACGAATGTAAAGTCTTGGACATCTTGCTTCTGTCATTATACCTCAGTAAGATACATGTAAGTATTATAAAGAAAGTCTACCAGGTAAAAAACAATTTCTCATTAATCCTCTGCAAACTGAGCCGCCTTCAAATCAGGCTAAACTGAATAAAATAAAATAAAACAAAATTGCATCAATAAAATTTTGGAAATATTTTATATTTTCAGAGCTGAATTTGAACAATGATAATTTTTTCAGAAATTGAATAAATTTTTCAAACGCCATAGCTCAATAGGCTATAGTGTAGAAATTATTAAGTTATGAGATTGCTTTCACTTCATTATACTACATGTAGCTCTGTTTTGTGCATGTACAGTGCCGCTCAGCTATAACTTTACTTATAGTGTACACGACACTAGTGCAGCTTCTCTATACACTCAATGCACACTAGTGCAAGGTACACACGTAGCACCTGTATCTTGTATTTATCATGTACATCATGTATCTTATCAAGTTCTGTGGTGCACGAGTCTATTGTAGTGTGTGTGTGCATAGTGATTCTTCACGAGCGCCACCTGTGCCTCGTGCTGGAGATCACGCATGTAAAAGTAAAGTTATAGCTGAGCGGTACTGTACATGTACTTCTGAATGTCCTGCTTGATTTAATTACTAATTACTGCATCAGAATAAAAATTGGGGTGATTTTGGAGCCATTTTTTGGGAAAAACCACGGGCTATAGTACAGAGATTTTTTTTAGAAATTGGCCAATTTTTAAAATGGCTGTAACTCAAAAAATTCAAGTCAGAATCAGCTCAAACTTTCTGCACAGCATAAGTACATCAAAATGCATTAGAAAAAGTAATAAAAATTGGGGGTCATTTTGGAGCCATTTTTTGGAAAAAACCATGGGCTATAGTACAGGGATTTTTTTAGAAATTGGCTCGTTTTTTAAAATGGTCATAACTTGAAAAATTGAAGTCAGAATCAGCTCAAACTTTCTACATAGCATAAGTACATCAATATGTATCAGAAAATGTAATAAAAATTGGGGGTGATTTCGGAGCCATTTTTTGGGAAAAACTATGGGCTATAGTACAGGGATTTTTTCAGAAATTGGCTCGTTTTTTAAAATGGCCATAACTTGAAAAAATTAAGCCGGGATGAGCTCAAACTTTCTACACAGCATAAGTACATCAATATGTATCAGAAAATGTAATAAAAATTGGGGGTGATTTTTGAGCCATTTTTCGGAAAAAACCATGGGCTATAGTACAGGGATTTTTTCAAAAATTGGCTCATTTTAAAAAATGGCCATAACTTCAAAAATTTAAGTCGGAATCAGCTCAAACTTTCTGCACAGCATAAGTACATCAATATGCATCAATCCTAACTTTAAACTAAACATTATTATTAATTTATTATAAATCATGTACCTAGAATTAGGTATTACCAGTCCAACGGCTAGTATCACCTCCTTGAGACCATCAAAATATGCTAGATCTTTACTAAAAAGAAAAAATAGATCAATAATTAATTAAAATGTTATAACAACAATCCTGCAGCTCAATTTTCTATATAAACTTCGGAAAATATATAAAAAATTTGGGGTGAATGTAAAGGAAAATCATGGGCCATATTATACTATAAGTATAGGTTATACACCGAGGTAGAGGTTTCTATGGTATTTATTAACCGAGTGACGCAGTCGCGAGGTTAATAAATACCATAGAAACCGATACCGAGGTGTATAACCAACTTCTACCATGACACTTGAAAAACAACTACCAGCTGCTGATAATAAGACCACAGTTGACATACATACAACATATCTAACAGGCTAGGCCAGTAAAGAATCAACCAAACTTGACAAATGGACTAATAAGAGCATAAGCGTAGAGTACCAAACTGCCAATCAATTAATTATTTAACGAGATAGGTTTATATTTTTACGAGCTAGGTTAATATGAAAAATAATTGACCTCCAATACTGCAATCTGATTGGTCAATCGCAAGGTGGCATGGTAGAATAATAATAATAATAATAATAACAACATTACCCATCTTCATAGTTCCATAGGTATATGGTGCTGTCAATGGTAAGCCAGGCTCTCTTGATGACAGGCATCAGACCCATATCAGAGTTACACTGCATATCTGGACAAGAACATCATTAAGAATCATGACATTAAAAATGAACAATGTACATGTACGTGTATAAATTATATTATATATACATGTACATGTACATGTATTTTAAATTGCAGATTAAAATATACATGATACATGTATATTCAATTACATTTGTACTGTAAAAATGGAATGGCAGTTTTGGCAATTTCTCCAAAAACATGATTGGCAGCTTTAATGTTAGCAGTTTGCTACATCTCATTAAACATTAGATACGTGAGCCAAATTAAACTCAATATAACTGATAACTTGCTCCAAATTTAGTTTCTTCACCTTAATAAAATGTACCATGTACACGTACATGTTTAGTGTCTTAATAAACTAATCCCATTAAAAGTGTATGCCCTTTATATTAAACCCATTAAACCTTTCCATATTAAAATTAATGTGCTTCAATTAAACTTGTAGTTATACATGTATTATTATTCTTGATTATATGTATAATCAATATTAATAGTTACCATTTAAAATGTAATGTACTGGTTATGCAATAAGCGACGACATCACTTATTAAATTATAATTATGTGTATTTAATATTATATTCATAAATGTACATGTACATGTATTAGGAGGATACTCTCAAATTCCTGGACCAGTTCTGATGGTAAAGGAGTATGGTCTACATCACCGATGAGTGGCATACCATCCAGTGATGGAAACAGAGACGAGAGAAAAGGATAATCGACGTCCGACTGTCCGCTTCCATTTGTAAGACCTAGAAGAGGTCACGTGATTAAGGGATGGGTCACGTGATGACTTACGGTCCGATGTGACTCTAAGTAGGCCACTGAGGTCGTAGAAGCGTTGATCTGAGACCTGGTACTTGTCTACCAGACCTCCAGCACTCTCCAAAACCTCGTTACTTCCTTGAGCAGTAGACATGATTTAAAATGAAGAGAGGTGAGAGTTTAAGGCTTTGGAGGCAGGGCGCACGTGGTTTATTAACAGGCGTGACTACCACGCCTAGTTTTAAAATTCTCCCCGGGGAAAGTTAATTTTGTAGCGGGGTCAATTATGTGGTTTTGGGTGTGGCTATCCTGGGGGAGTGGCTCGTCATAATGCATTTCCTCTTTCTAGTAAACATAAAGTCCACAGTCTACTCTAATCTAGCCTAGAAAGTAAACACGGACAGGGAGAGTAGTAAAGGGAGATATAAACCTTGAACCACAGCAGTTTATAGGTCATAATTTCTACTAAAAACGACAGAAAAAGTCCCCGTATTTCGACAGTCTTCACACGGTATCACTATCATGGGTAACAAGTGTAGCTGCCTCAGTGCTACTGGGTCTACAGACGAGGCCGAGGATGCTCTACTAGGAGGGACTGGTGATTCACGGGAGCCTAGAGGACCACCACCGCCTTATCAAGTAAGAAACTAAAAATGATACTATTCTGAATCTATTTTGAACTGTATAACTGTGAGGTAGGCTGTATTTTTGCAGCAGCTATCTTGTTGTGGATTTCATTGCATTTTAGCTTGTAAAATCAGCAACCATTATAAACTATACATATATGTACTAGCAAAACTGACAAGAAATATAGCTAGTACAACCATTCTTTGATAGTGATAAATTCACTAAAGCATCATTGCAGTGTGCAGTTATGCAAAGGGGGGGGGGTTTGAGAGACCAAGTGACGAAACTGAAAGGCTACAAAAATAAACATAGCATAAGGCAGGTCATGTATACATTATAAAATTCAATCAATGTTATCTTTCATTTCTAACCACAAACCTATCAGACCACTCCATTATAATATACACTAAATGCAACTCTATACAGAGAGCTATATCGAATGTATTCTTAGAAAAAACAACCACTCCAAAGTACTGCCAGTTTATCATTTCAAGCTTATGTCATCAAACACATAACAAACAAAGTGAGGAGCTGTAGACAGAAAGAAAACTTAGGTTGACTGTCTGGCAGTGCCTGACACTGAGAATCATGTGTTTCCCTTAATGATGATGTAGTGTTGTCTAACATTACCTATTATATTATGGACTGTGTTGTATAAAGCTGTTTAGCATTGCTTTCTAAAGCATATTCCAAATAATCTAATTTGCCTTTTTGAGACACATTCCCATTATAAGAAGAATAGAGCTTCATTCTTCATGCTTTGAATAAGAGAGGTCATTAAGAATAATCAGGCCTGGCCTGCTTCCAAAACTTTACTGGTTGCAGTTGTTGTTCTTGCACAATAAAGAATGTGACTTTTTTGAAATCTGCCAAACCACAAAGTAGATTTCTGTTTTATCCTGCACACAATAGCATGCACACCTGTCCAGCATATTTACTAAGAAATCTCATTATTTGATTACTATATAAAAACCAATACACACACACACTGCTTGCTTTAATTCCTTTGCTTGTACAGTCATCATGATGACACTGCTGCAATTATATATACTATACTCTACAATTACAATTTCCCATTGGAATTTATACTTCAATAGTCACGTATAAGCTGCTAACACTTTGTTGTGATGTCATTATTAAACGCCTTTCCTGAGCTACTAAAATTAAATTTTGCTATAGGAAGCCTTGTACCCACCTTGTCCTTGACCTAAACCTACCATTTGGTCAAGTATGTTACTATGACCCATTACTGTCAGCAGGCATAGACTTTGATATTATACATACTATGAATTGCAATAACATGTAGACATGAATGCAAGATAATCAAACCACCATATGGTATCTATGCATTGACATAATAGGATTTTTCAATGGTCTACGATTAACTTGTATTCTCATGAATTGCATAATAGCATTGTGGCTTTTATTGATATCATTAAAAGATGATATGATAGTTTTATTCAAAGGCCAAAAGGTAAAACCACGAGTTATTGTATGAAAAGGATAATTACTTCTCCTACAGAGGATGGGATGGCCCCAGCTTCTTGCATGCATTTCTAATTACTCTATCAGTTGTACATATCTCTGAAGCAGGTTACTCACTATCTGCTCGTGCGTACTAATATAATAATCATCTACCAAGAGAGAAATCCTCTTAGTAAAAAGAGAATTCACAATTTAGTTAAAAATATAATACTACAATTATAATATAAAAACAAATAGAGATTACTATGAAAAGTACAATTTAAATTAATTCTATTATATCATGATGTAATATTACTGACTTACATAGTACATAGTGTGTGAGACCATTTCCCTTTAGACAGAGGAAATACCATAAAGTGTAATGGTCAGCTGATTTTAAGTATATACCCGCATGATCATTATGAAGCACAGCATCATTGTATACACTATAGCTGTCTCCCCATATACAGCATCAGTAGTTACATCATAAAGTACACTAGGGCACATGCAGTGTAGTATTCATTGCACTGTCATACATTGTACTCTATAAATAGATTCATGCCGTGATCAATGGTCAGAGAGTGGCCTGATCTGGAATGGAATGTTATTGTAATTGCTGCTAATGTCAACATTGTTATGAATAGCATTGAGAAATGTAATACACAGTCACCTTTCATCTTATGGAAAATGTATATCTATTATACACATAATGTCACAGATGTTACATATGTGTGTGAGCAGCTAAGTGGATAATAAAGATGTAATTTCAGTATGTAAAGCTATTATTATATGTATTGTATGTTAATTTGAGATTGAATACTGTGGTTCCCCCTACACTTAATTGCTGACCACATACACGCAGAAGAATTTGTAAATGATTCCATGAACTTTTAAAACAAAAAACCACAAAATAATTATGCTCCTTCCTGTACTCACTTCCTTCTTCCTTTTTGATTGCATTCTTTATATTATTTCTCTTCTTCTCTTTCTCTCTCTCTCTTCAGATTCATCATCCATTCTATATGTTAACAGAGGAGCAAAGGTTACATATAGTTAGTAGGATAACACTCATCCAGAGTCTACCAGTCGGACATTACGAAGCACCAAAAGTGATGATGAGTGAGAAGAAAAGTGAAAAGGACAAAACTGATCAAGCAAGAGAGTAAGGAGAAAGGAGAGAAGAGGGAGAGGGAGAAAGATTGAGCGAAGGAGAAAGAGAGAGGGAGGGAGAGAAAGAGAGAGAGAGAGAAAGAATGAAGGAGAGGAAGAGAGAGGGAGAGAAACAAAGAGGGAGAGGAATATAGAGAGAAAAAGAGAGAGGGGATCAAAATAAAGCAGAAGTTCAAAAAGGAGTAATCTAACAGTAAAAGTAATACAGTAACAGAGAAGGAAGGAATGAAGAAAAATTGAAATAGATGCCATAATGTCATCACTTTATTTCTTCCTTTCTAGATGTCCTATATGTATGAATGACTTCATACCAGGCGAGCTAATACGTCTCCTTCCATGCATGCACTATTATCACATTCGCTGTATTGATGAGTGGCTTATGAGAGCCATCACTTGCCCTACATGTGTACAGCGTGTTGATGCAGCCCCGCCTACTCATCAAACCAGTCGCTCTACACCTCATCACAACCACAGAAGAACTGGTAGTACTATAAGTCAAGGAAGTATGTCTAGTTTGTGTGGGTCGGCTTATAGGAGGAGCATGGATGTTCTGACCACACCTCCACCTCCACCCACACAGTCTCCGTCAGTTTCACCGGCCGATTCTATGCAGGAGTTGTTAGTTGAGGTACAGCATCACTCGTGAGAATTGGAGTTTTTATTATTCACACAAGCAGCATCTCTTCATTCACTGTATCATAATATTGACTCAGAATTAATATTCCATTTTTCTTTGTTAATTATTTATATTTTCAACAAGCACCACACATCAATAACAATTTTATTAAAAATAGTGATAATGTTATTTTTTTGCTGTCACTACAAATTGTTATATCAAATTTTAAAGACAATAAATTTTGTGAAAACACTCAAAAATACGAAACAATAAAAAAATAATAAGCAAATAGCAATTGTCAGTAAAAGCAATAAAATACAAACTTAAAAATTCAATTTCTATTCATCAGCTTGCAAACGCTTTATCTCATCAATAATTGAATGTTCTCCAATTTTCTTCAGAGCTTCTATCAATTTGTTACATGTAGCATGTCTTGTATCTATCCAGTGATAAATCATTTCCTTACGACAAACTTGAACTTGATCATGGGAATTGTACTTGATCTCATCTAACTTGTGCTTTTTGATTCCCAAGTTCATTCCTAAATTTTCCCATGGAAATACTACACTTTTGATAGCATCAATAATAATAGGAGCATGTGTATGAACTATAATAAATAAGATTATATTTGATTATAATTACACAATTCACTTACTTAATATTGCTTTTCCATCAGTTGGTAATGAAATGGCCTCAGGATCTGTAGTTGCTGCTCCTATAATGAAAAGGAAAGTTATACAAATTAGGTGCGTCGATTTTTACCTATCAGCCAACAGCTTTGATTTTTATCTAAATCATTAGTTGTGATAGTATAGCTACTCTCAACACTGCAACCTATTTCAGGAGGGTTATTTCTGTATGAGATGGTTATAGGATGAATCTTCTCATCATTAGCAGGCAGAATATGCTTCCGAGTGCAACGAACAAGAGCAGTCACATTTAATGTCTGCTCATTATAACACAATACTTCAGCACTTGCTCTTATTGCTTCAAGGATCACCTTACGAAGGAGATAACAATGTTGTGGAAGACCTGTGAAATAAACTTCGATTGATCCAACATTCTCACAAAGGAATACTGATCCAACAAAGAGACTCTCTGTGTAGAGCTTCACTGCATGTCGGAGCTGCTGGGGAAAATCATTGGTATTACTATCAATGAAGAAGAAAGGCTCCTCTTTTCGACTCAACAGTGAGACTACCAAGGCTGGAAATAAACCCTGTATGAAGACAGTGATAGATTTACAATTAATCAATAAATTAATTAATCTCTTGCCTGTAAAACTAGCTTTTCATCAAATGTAATAAGAAGTGGATCAGCTAATACAGGAAATAATTTTTTCCCTTTTTCAGAAATTTTTTTTGCAGGTAGAAGAATAGGAATGAAATATTTGATTTCCTGAACTCCTTCAATGGTGGAGATAACAAGTAGATGCTTTAGCAATGTTAGGAGATCATCCATAGAGAACAGACCAGGAACAAAGTTTAAAACAGATTCAAGACTACGCAATAGTGCCTTATCAAAAGTTCCTTTGTATTTAAGTGAACGTATAATTTCATGAGATAGACGGACACCTTCAGGGAATATCTGTTTTAAATTATCAACAAAGGACACACAAGCAATCTTGGAGAGGCAATCTATCAGAAACTGAGGATTAGTGAAGATTACATGAGGAAGGAGCTTTGGATAATAAATACATAATCTCATTAAGTCCAATTTAATGAGACACTCATCTACATTATCTTTATTCATTCCTAATTTTTGACCAATAGAGTAGCAGGACTCAAGTGAGATCATTCCATGTGTCTCCTTTGATGCTTCATTCTTTATATTTAAATCAAACAAATACCAACGTACCGGTATCTTAATATTGAATTTAATATCAGACAGGAGGCGCTCACGAATTTTAGCTGAAAGTGTTGCACGGTCCTTTTGGCAAAGATTGTCCACAGGAAAAACCAGCTCATTAGAATCACGATTATAGAATACAAAGAAATCAAGAAAACCACTCAACTGTGACAGGAGAATCTCATTTTTCTGTGCAATTGTTTCCTGCACACCTATTTTCTGCATAACAAATGATTGTTTGTCACAATGAGTGGCTATAATAGCAAATGCTGGTTCACTATTGTCTTCTCTTGAAGTTGCTGCAACAGAACGAACAAAGCTTTCAATAATCTGAAGATTAGTCATGGTCATTTCTTTTGGTGTATTGAGTCTTTTACCATTGATAGAGTAAATGAATGTAGGTTTGTCATGAAGGGATTCAGTCACCTTCATTACAATAATATACAGTGAATCACGACGTACAAACATACGAAGGAGATCAGTAAACTGAGGCTGGCCTCCACTGTCTAAAAGATAAATCCATTTAGCTTCATCTAAGTGTTGTAACCCTTCCCTATTCTTAAAAGAAGGCAATGACAATTGCTCAATAATTTTTCTTTTAGCATAATCTAAATCTTTCTTTGGTTCAAAAGTAGTAATTGGGTACGCTTCATATGATGAATCAGATAACTCATCTGTTGATGGTGAACTTGTACTTGAGGTAGATTGAAGTATCTGTGATGAAGATACAGTTGAAATATGTATTGGTGAAGTTGCTGAGGCAGACACTGGTGATGGCAGATCTGTTGGTGCCATTGTAGCTAGCAATGGAGTTGCTTGAGTAAAAGAAGTGGCATCATCAACAGGATCTGTTATTTCAGTATCACGTATGATATTTGAAAGCATTCGAACTAGATCTTCTTCAGTCATTCCTCTCCACACTTTTCCTCCATCTGCAGTAGCTATTTGCTCAATGGCTTGTACAGGGCGAGCAGCTATGGGTGTGCTGTTATGCGTCAAAGTTGGTGGTCTATTAGCCAATAGATCCTTGAATGCTGTTTTACCAACACAAGGAGGACCACATATAACTATCTTGATATAGTTAAGAGATACGTAACTCTTTTCTTTAGAATTTATCCCTTTTTCTAATTCTTTATGTTTTTCATCTGTCTTAGTACATCTTTCAAAATATTTCATGATATACTTTCTATATTTAGAACAATTGGATTCTTTCAACCACTTCAACACATCATTCATCTCCAAATCACCAGCTTCAAATTTTTTTGTTAGAGTGTCGCAAATAGATAGGGTAAAATTAGGTGGGGTAGATGAAGGAATCATTGCGGTGTGAAACATTTTAGATTCCTGATTGTTCATCAATCGAACTATAACAGCTAATGTCAGCATCATGTCAAAACTAGGATATTCTAGGTATATCGATAACTTTTCTGCTTTTGTAGGAGAAACAGCCAGCTTTTTTACTGGGTAGCCCAGTCTATTCAACAGCATGTAAACTAAGGGATGTGATAGTACTCCACCTTCAGAAAATAATGATTCATTTGTGACATTAAGGCCTTGAATGGCTAATTGGATTGTAATCTGCTCTTTTCTACTGAACGGTCTAACATTGTCATTTGATTTATGTTCTAGACGTAAATTTAAATGGACCAGGAATTTTTTAATTAAAATTTCAGATATAGGGGGATATACAGAAATTTGAGCTAGATCTATCTCAAGTCGTAACTCATCTAATTTTTTAAAATCATCTATAATAATTATAAATAAAGAAAGAAAATGCACCAGATTTTACCTTCTTTTAGATGGCAAATTTCTATCATAAAAGCCAATGTGACTAAAAATTATAATTGAATTTTGATAATTATTACTTTTCATGCCCCCTAAGCAAACCTTGTAAATCATGGTTGTCTTTACGATTATTGGCACCTGAATCAGGAGAGTCTACATAAAATGAAACCATGCAAATATAATCAAGATTAATTTAGTTTACTTTCATTTTGTTGCTGTTCACTTGGATTTACATTAAAATAGTTTGGCTGATCAAAGTACTTTGCCAGCTCATTAAGTTTTGCTACATCTGCTTCCCCACGGCAAAATAAAATTCTAACAAATTCAAGTGGAGAATAATTTTCAATGATTTCATCATTTAAATGCATGCGAGAGAAAGCCATCATTGCTACTTTGCAATCATTCTCTCCTAGACTGTACAAAAACTCTGCAAACCTCAATTTAAGGTATATTTCAGGATATGATATGCGTAAACTAAAACCTGGAATCAAGAACGGGTCTAGTTTAGGTACTTCATTATTCTTGCAGTGGAAATAACTAAGGACTGAATAAATGATGCTAGCAGTTTCGGATGGAGATTCTGTTCTTGTCAATAAGTGATCAAACACATCATAAAATGTTTCAGGCATGCGTGATGGTTTATATGTTCCAACCAATGCCAGACGGACCAGTTCAACATAAATATTCTCCAGATCCATATCAATGTCACAAATAATCTTAGCAATATCATTTTTAATTTTCTCTAACATCTCACTTGCCCTATTCAGTACTTTGGGATGCGAATTGGACAAAGAAAAGGCTACATCTGCTTCAAATTCTAACTGGTCAAATACGTCTCCTCTCTTCAAACCCAGAGCAGAGAGACACTGAAGAATAAAGGCCACAGATGTAGCTGGAGAAACAAAATTATGGAAGAAGAGTTTGCGGAGCGATAATTCTAGCCCAAAATCATAGCTAACATGCTCTAGATCCGGCTGAAATGGGGTGACAGCTTCTTGTATGAGAGTAATGAGATTGTCCTTGTATAGCACAGGCAGATAGGAAGCTGCATCTAGGGTCTTTGACTCCAACCGTTTATACTTTACCTCAAACCGTTCGACAGTGGCACTCATCTCTGCTCTATGATGGCAAAATCTATGCTATCAGTTTATAGTTTAATCAGTTTATATATAATAGTGTAGTCCGCAGTAACTTTTGGAATAGCATCTAGCTGCGCTGATCAGCCCACCCACACGAAATGGTGCGATGCTGTAATCTCATCTAATTTATAGATCAAACGAGTGTAAAAAATTCATGAATCAATGGATCGGCCACCCATACAAAATCTCATTTATAGATCTATAATAGTATTCATTTATCATGGCCAAGCCTGGTTTACTAAAGGTGGGCATCCACTATGCAACTTTGTTGCCAGTATCTTTGATGTGGTTGTGCAACATGTTGCGTCTCTCTACTTCATGCAACATGTTGCCCAGCCACATCAAAGGTTTAACCACAAGTTGCAAGCAACAATGCTGCATAGTGGATGCCCACCAGTAGGACAAACGAGTGTAAAATTAAAATTCATGAATCAATGGATCAGACCACCCACACAAAATGGTGCGATGCTGTAATCTCATTTATATACCAATATTCATTATTATGGCCAAGCCATCAGCTGAGTAGGGCAAACGAGTGTAAAATTAAAATTCATGAATCAATGGATCAGACCACCCACACAAAATGGTGCGATGCTGTAATCTCATTTATATACCAATATTCATTATTATGGCCAAGCCATCAGCTGAGTAGGGCAAACGAGTGTAAAACTAAAATTCATGAATCAATGGATCAGACCACCCACACAAAATGGTGCGATGCTGTAATCTCATTTATATACCAATATTCATTATTATGGCCAAGCCATCAGCTGAGTAGGGTAAACGAGTGTAAAATTAAAATTCATGAACTTCAAATTAACTGAGGTCAGAACACCGCACACATATTATGTTGACTGTAAACCTGGCTTTACAATGTTGCATTACAAAAGTCTGCCACAAAAGATGGTTACATCAAGTTGCCGCCTTAATTAGTAGGTATGTTGGGCTTTATGTAACCCTGAAAGGATTTCATGCAAAATCATAATGTGAGGCCCTATTTGCATTCAAAAAATATGCTGCATATATATATATATATATATATATATATATATATATATAGAATAATGATGGTCCATGTTAGATATACATGGATATTTTATAGCTCTACAATCCACATCCCAATAGTCATGTATAACGTCTTATTTACATGAGATTGAGACTAAAAAACTGCAGAATGAAAGAATCATTTATATACTCATTATTTTATAACTTATTATTAATTTTACTGTTCTGCAATGTACATAAATTAATGCTGGTGATCAATTAAAAAAAAGAGAATAATTAAAGTTAACAGTCTGCAAGAAAATTACAAATACTTGTCATATTCATCTCCTCTTTTTTGTCTGAGGTGGTGCATAGTCCCTAGCAGCATTAGTGTTGAATACCTTAACAATATAAAGAGGAATTAATTCAGTGCCTATGATCAATTATTTTTCATTGATTTCAAATTAAATCTGATTTATAGGCTATGTTTACACAGCAACACAAAACGCATCATTTTAAAAGTATCCTCTTTGAACACCGGTTTCATTTCCATAGAGTTCTATCAAGATTCTATCATGTTTTCATTTGTTTCTGTGTAAACAGAAGCATAAAACAGGCACAAAACTATACAGATTGCACCGTTTTTTGTTGCTGTGTAAATGTGGCCTTAATCAGCACATGAAGTACCTGTGACATTTTGTTTCTAACAGAAAGAATTGTCAAATCAACTGAAGGATGGCCTTTCAGGGGAGAAAGAGAGGGAAAAGCTATAGGTAAGTTGTAAATTATTATAAAATTCAATAAATCAATGTACTGCAGTCTTACAATAAGGTGGTGGTTATTATTATCTTTAAATAAAAGAAATACTTACAAGTGGCAACTCAGTGGTCTTTACCAGTTTGAGCTGAACTTGTAAAAGGTGATCTAACAGAATTTCTGCTTAAGTGAGACTGTGACTGATGATAGTCATCATTAAGTATAGGTGGTCTCAATAAAGACTTTGATGAAGATACAGAGACAGGTACATGATCTGAGACTAATGGTGGTGGCTGTACAGTGTTAGCTATTGAAATTAATGGAGGAGGAGTGAGTAAAGAAGCATTACTAGTACACGTTATGAGTGGACTAGGATTAGGAGGATTGTGTAAAAGAGGAGAGACCTTCTTAGTAGGAGAGATAAGAACACTTCTTTCTTGATGGATGTGATTGGAAGATGATGTAGTGTGAATAAGAGGAGGAGGAGTAGAGTGAGGAGGAGGGGGAGAGGGTGAAATGAGAGGAGGGGTACCAGGGGAAGTGCCAATAAGAGGTGGGACATAACTTGAGCCGTAGGGAGGGGAACGTATAGGAAGACTATTGGACCACGGGGTGGACCGTGGATCAAAGGAACAGGACCATGGAAGGGACAGCGGTTAGCCTAGGACAATGGTATGGATGAGGATGAGAGAGAGAAGAAACATGAGGAGAGAATAAAGAAGAAGCATGGCCAATATGAGAAAGTGAGAAACAATGATAGAGGGGCGTGGTAAAAGTGGACACGGTTATTATTCATTACACAAGCCACATCTCTTCATTCACTGTATACTCAAAATCAATATTCTATTTTTGTTCATTAATTTATTTATATTTTCAACAAGCACCCCACATCAATAATTAACATAAAATAGTGTCATTTTTGCTGTCACTACAAATTGTTGTATCAAATTTTTTAGACAATAAAATTCATGAAAAAAACTCAATAATAAAGGAAGAGCAATAACAAAAAGCAAATAGCTATTGTCAGTATCATTAAAGCAAAAAATAAAATTAAAAATTCAATACCTACATCCAGCAGTTTGCAAACGCTTTATGTCATCAATGATAGCACGTTCTCCTATTTTCTCCAGTGCTTTTATTAATGCATTACATGTAGCACAACTTGTATCTATCCAGTGATGGATCATATCTTTACGACAAACTTGAACTTGATCGTGACAATTATACTTGATCTCATCTAACTTGTACTTTTTAATTCCCAAGTGAATGCCTAAAGTTTCCCATTGAAACACCACACATTTAATAGCATCAAGAAAAATAGAAGCATGAGTATGATCTGTCAGTAATAAATAAAATTATACTTGATTATAATTATACAATTCACTCACTTAACAATGCATTTCCATCAGCTGGTAAGGAAATGGTATCAGGATCTGTACAGGCTGGTGCACCTACACATATAATGAAAAAGAATAACAATAAGAGAGTATATAGTGTATTGAGCATTGACTTACCTATTAGCCAGCAGCTTTGCTTTTCACTTATATCATTAATAGTGATGGTAGGACTAGTTTCAACACTGCAACAAATTAGAGGTGGGTTATTCTTGTAAGAGATTTTAATTGGGTGAATCTTCTCGTCATTAGCAGGGATGTCATGCTTATGCTTGCAATGAACAAGAGCAGACATATTTAATTTCTTCTCATCGTATTGCAATACTTCAGCACTTGCTGATAAAGCTTCTATGATTACTTTACGAAGGAGGTAACAATGTTGAGGAAGACCAGTGAAGTAAACTTCAATTGATTCTTTATTCTCACAAAGGAATACTGATCCAAAGAGTTCCTCTGTGTAGAGCTTCACTGCATGTCGGAGCTGCTGGGGAAAATCAGTAGTACTACTATCAATGAAGAAGAAAGGCTCTTTATTTCGACTTAATAAAGAAACTACCAATGTTGGAAATAAACCCTGTATAAAAAAACAGTATACATTATTGTCCATAGATGTAAATCTCTTGCCTGTAAAATTAGCTTATCATTAAATGTAATGAGAAGAGGCTCTGATTTAGCTGATTTAGCAAAGAAACTTTTCTGTCTTTGTTCTGCAGGTAGAAGAATAGGAATGAAATATTTGATTTCCTGAACTCCTTCAATGGTGGAGATAACAAGTAGATGCTTTAGTAATGTTAGGAGATCATCCATAGAGAACAGACCAGGAACAAATTTTAATGTCGATTTAAGACTATGCAATAGTGCCTTATCAAAAGTTCCCTTACATTTAAGTAAATGTATCATTTCTTTAGATAGGCCAACTCCTGGTAACATTTGCCTTAAATCATCAATAAAGGACACACAAGCAATATTGGAGAGGCAATCTATCAGAAACTGAGGATTAGTGAAGATTACATGAGGAAGGAGCTTATGATAATAGATACATAACCTCATTGAGTCCAAATAAATGAGACACCTTTCAACCTCTTCTTTATCCATTTCTAACCTTTGACCAATAGAGTAACAGGACTCAAGTGAGATCATTCCACGTGTCTCCTTTGATGCTTCATTCTTCATATTCAAATCAAACACATACCAACGTACTGGTATCTTAATATTAAATGTAATGTCAGACACAAGGCGGTGGCGAATTTCAGCTGAAATTGTTTCCCGATTCTTCTGGCAAAGATTGTTCACAGGAAAAATCAACTCATTAGAATCATGATTATAGAATACAAAGAAATCAACAAAATCACTCAACTGTGACAGGAGAATCTCATTTTTCCTTTCAATTGCTTCTTTCTTACCAAATTTCTGCATTACAAATGATTGTTTGTCACAATGAGTGGCTACTATAGCAAAAGCTGGTTTGCTTGTGCCTTCTCTTGAAGCTGCTGCAACGGAACGAACAAACCTCTCAATAATCTGAAGATTAGTCATGGTCATTTCTTTTGGCGTATTGAGTGCTTTACCATTGATAGAGTAAACGAATGTAGGTTTGTCATGAAGGGATTCGGTCACCTTCATGACAATGATGTACAGTGAATTACCACGTACAAACATACGAAGGAGATCAGTAAACTGAGGCTGGCCTCCACTGTCTAAAAGGTGAATCCAAGTAGCTTCATGTAGCTTTTGTGAGCCTTCCTTTTTTTCCAAAGACAATTGCTCAATAATTTTTCTTGACGCATAGTCAAAATCTTTCTTTAGCTCAGAAGTGCTATTGGCAGCTTGATAAGAATACAAGTCAGGTATTTCATTTGTTGGTGATAGTTTTGTTGTTGAGGGAAATTGGAGCACTGGAGAAAGTGTTGACGATGATGAAGAGGTAGATTGAAGCACTGGTGCAGATGACGATTTAGTCAATGGTGATGAAATTGTTATTAAGGTAGAGTCAAGTACTGCTGGTAATGAAGCAGAAAAAGATTCTTTAGTCGAATTAGCAATTGATGGTAACAAAAAATGGTGAACTGGAAACTTTGAATCAATTGGAGAAAATAATGGTGGTGAGGTTTTCAAAAGAGGGACTGATAACGGACTTGTTGTTAACTCTGTTGTAGATGAAGATAGGACATCATTATGCACTGCATAAAAGTCTAAAACAGGTTCTTCAGTTTCACGTATAATATTGGAAAGCATCTTCAGTAGATCCTCTTCGGTAATTTCTTTCCACACTTTGCCTCCAGCAGCTATTCTCTCAATAGCATGCACAGGACGGGCAGCTATGGGTGTGCTATTGTGTTTGAGAGGAGGTGGTCTGTTAGCCAATAAATCCTTGAATGCTGTTTTACCAACACAAGGAGGACCACATATAACTATCTTGATATAATTGAGAGATACATATCCTTCTTGTATCCCTCTTTCCAGTGCTTTATGCTTTGCCTCTGTCTTGTTACGTCTTTCAAAATACTCAAAAATATATAATTTATACTTGGAACATTTGGATTCTTCCAGCCATTTTAACACGTCATTCATATCTAAATCACCATTTCTATATTTCTTTGTTAGGGTGTCACAAATAGATACATTATTAAATTTAAAACTCAAAAAGCCAGAAGAGGAAATGACTCTGTCAAACAGCTCAGATTCCCGAGAACTCATCAGTCGAATTATTTCCGCTAATGTCAGTAGCATATCAAAATTGGGATGTTCTAGGTATATTGATAACTTTTCTGTCTCAGCAGGAGGAGTAGCCAGCTTCTTTACTGGGTAGCCCAATCTATCCAGCAACACATAAACCAAAGCATGGGATAGTACTACACCTTCAGAAAATAATGATTCAGCTACTTCATTAAGCCCCTGAATGGCTAAATGAATAGCAACTTGCTCTTTTTGACTGAACGGCCTGAGAATTTTGCTTGATTTGTCTATTAGACATAAGTGAGCAACAAAATTCTTAACTACAATGTCGGATATAGGAGGAGGACATGAATGAACTTTAACTAGATCTATCCCAAATCGTGACCTTGAGATTAACCCTTCCAAATTTATGAAATCATCTGTATGATAAAGTAAATCAGTAAAAAAAGAATTGAATCATGTTACCTCTTTTTAATTTACAGCAATTGGTCATAAAAGTCATTCTAGCTAAAAATTAGAATCAAATTAATTTTATTATACATCAAACCCATTATAACACATTACCTCCATCAGTTGGCAAAGGTGTGGCTTCACAATGATTGCTTTCAATGGTTACTGGAAAAGATAAATCACTATCAAAAGACATGGCTAAAAAGTAATAAAAAAATAAAAAATTATACCCAGTACAATTTAGTCCACTTACTTTTGTTCTCTTGCTGTACACACAAATCAAAAAAGTCAGGCTGGTTAAAATATCCTGACAGCTCATTAAGCTTTGCTACATCTGCTTCACAACGATCAAATAATGCTCCAATAAATTCCAGTGGAGAATACTTGTCAATGGGTTCATCATTTAAGTGAATACGAGAAAAAACCGTCATTGCTAATCTGCAAACATCTTCCCCTAGACCATATAAGAACTCAACAATCCTTAATTTAAAGTATATCTCAGGATATGATAAACGTAAAGAAAAGCCTGGTATCAAGTAGGGGCCTAGTTTAGATACTGCTTTCTCATTGCAATGGAAGTAACCAAGGACTGAATAAATGATACTTGCAGTTTTAGAAGGAGACTCTGTTGTCATCAACAAGTGATCAAACATCAAATATATAGTCTCATAAAATGTTTCTGTTGAGAAGATTGTTCCAAGCAGCGAAAGATTGAGCAGCTCCACATAAAAACCGAGAAGAGACAGGTCGATTTCAGCAACAATTGAGGTAAGATCTGTCTTGATTCTCCCTTTTATCTCACCTGCCCTACTCAGAACCTCTGGATAAGAGGTCAACAAAGAAAAGGTCTCATCTGCTTCAGATTTTAACTGGTTGACATGCCCATCCCAACCCAGAGCAGACAGACATTGAAGAAAAAAGGCAACAGATTCAGCTGGAGTATATTGAGAGAAGAGTAAATTGAGTGATTTTTCTAATGTTTTACATGCAGGCTGCAGCAATTGGATAGTAATAGCTTCATTAATGAGAGTAATGAGATTATCCCTGTATACAAGAGGGAGATGAGAAGCTGAAGTCATCAACTCCAACTGAGAAGCTTCCATTGTTGACTCCAACTGAAAAGCTTCCATTGTAAACGGTTCCAGAACTGAAGTAGAACTTAGTGCACTTGTTTTTTGAGCAACAAGAAGTGTGGGACCTACATATAGATCAAATCAATGTAATTACTATGAATAACAATAGTACTTTACCTGATGCTTCAATCGGATGGCGTGTTGCATATGCATAACCACAACTAGGGAAAGCAGCTGTAAGTTCTGATTTGGGATTCATCAGTAATTGGGAATCAGTTATGGCACTACCATCTAATAATAACAATAATATAATTTATATTCTATCAGGGACATTTATTTGCTCATAAATTTACTTATTGACTACTGCGTGGCAGTATACAACAACATCAATTTTTTATAACACATTTGTTTTCATGATGTTTTATTTTCAGAGCCATAGCAACTGCTATATACATGTAGTTGCCACAGTCTAGTCTCGTGTCCAGACCCATCCCCTTTTTGACATTTGGCAGTTTACCTCTTATAGCATAAAGACTCTTCCTACATACATCTAGAAAGGGCCGGCAATGACCAGTACTCTTTTTAGCATTAAGATGACTCTCTGTAATAGCAACATTATATACATATTATGCAGGAACAATGAAACTTACCTTTTAGTGTAGAGACTGTGGACTCTGCAAGGTGATGCCATTCTGGTACTGTAAGATGATGGCGTCTGCAGTACCCACGTAACTTTTCATGATACAGGCTACAACCGATTAATTCCAGCCAAGCAAAAAGGTACTGGAATGAGTCTGGTGTGAGACAGTCTCGATTAAAGAGGAGCTCCAAGAGATGAGTTCTTGATATGACGTTTGAGACATCAAACTGAGGCAAAAAAGTACGTATTGCCATCTTCCTTAAAGAATGATACTTTACGCGATCCAAGCTACATAAGATAGAACAAACGGTTAGAATGAAATCCATCATCCTCAGATCAATGCCTTCAACGACTGTCTCGTTTTGTTTAGCATGTTCTTTCAGAGCATCGACGAGTGGCCTTTGCACATCCAAACGCAAGAGAATCATGATAAGTAAATTGAGGGCAGAGCTACTACCATATTTACGCTCCAGTAGAATGTACACTGAAGTGAGACGATCGGCTTCTTCAAGGTCGGACCGTGGTATTTGAAAAGCAAAATTAGCCACTAGTTTAACGACATCAAGTTTTATTGGACCAATGGCAATTATGGCCTTGTTGATTTCGCCTAGCTTATCAGCCAATTTCTTCCAGTGCTCCTTGTCGATCCCAGCCATTTAGATCATAGCAGGCGACGTGCCCCGCAACAGGCGTGGTGTCTGACTCGTGGTCTGGGAAAGCCACCATAATTCCCAGGCCACACCACACATGATCATGCGCATGTTATGATAGCACAGAATGATCAATCACTTCAGTAATTAAAACAAAAGGTTTGATTAAAGAGATGTGAGATATTGTAGGATCTGACTCTCAGTAATGAGCAAGAGTTTAATGTTATGAATGGAGAGTATCGTCCTCCTCTGTTAGCCTTCATTAAGTTTCCATCTCACGATCATAAAAAAATCAAAATCAGCGAATCTTAAAAACCTGATTGTGCATTTGCTAATTTACATGAGCCTGATTATCATTATTTTACTTTTCATTATTTTACTTTTCAGCAATGTAAATAAATTAATGCTAGCTGGTGATCAATTTAAAAAAAGATGAAATAGTCTGCAAGAAATGATACTTGTCATATTCGTCTTCTCTTCTTAGTCTGAGGTGGTGCATAGTCCCTAGCAGCACTAGTGTTGAATACCTTAACAATATAAAGTGGAGTTAATTTACAATAATGCCCCATCATCAATTATTTTTCATTGATTTCAAATTAAATCTAAGTGGATGAAGTACCTGTGACATTTTGTTTCTAACGGAAAGAATTGTCAAATCAACTGAAGGATTACCTGTCTGGGGAAAGAAGGAGAGGAGAAAGCTATAGGTAAATCGTAAATTATTATAAATGCTTTAATTCAATAAATCAATGTACATATATTTAATCATTTAAATAAAAGAAATACTTACAAGTGGCAACTGGTCTTTACCAGTTTGAGCTGAACCTGTAAAAGGTGGTCTAACAGAGTTTCTGCTTAAGTGAGACTGTGACTGATGATCATTAAGTATAGGTGGTCTCAATAAAGACTTTGATGAAGATGCAGGAACATGTACACGGTCTGAGACTAATGGTGGTGGCTGTACAGTATTAGCTATTGAAATTAGTGGAGGAGGAGTGAGCAAAGAAGCATTACTAGTACACGTTATGAGTGGACTAGGATTAGGAGGATTGTGTAAAAGAGGAGTGGCCTTCTTAGTAGGAGAGATAAGAACACCTCTCTCTTGATGGATGTGATTGGAAGATGATGTAGTGTGAATAAGAGGAGGAGGAGTAGAGTGAGGAGGAGGAGGAGAGGGTGAAATGAGGGGAGGGGTACCAGGGGAAGCACCAATAACAGGTGGGACATAACGTGAACCATGGGGAGGAGAACGAATAGGAAGACGTATTGGACCACGGGGTGGACTGTGGATCAAAGGAACAGGACCATGGAAGGGACAGCGGTTAGGACGACGGTAAGGATGAGGATGAGGGAGAGAAGAAACATGTAAAGGAGGAGAAAATAAAGGAGAAGGGCCATGGCCAATATGAGGTACGATGATAGAGGGACGAGGTAAAAGTGGACGTGGAGGAGGAGGAGGGGGAAGAGGAGGGAGTAGTGGTATGAGATGGTGTGATGGTGAGGGTGCCAGGTGTGATGGTGAGGGTGCCAGGTGTGAGGGAAGAGGAGGAGGGAGGGGTATTTCTTGATGAGAAGGTACTTGTAGCAATGATGGTCTGTGTACTGTTGTAGTAGTAGTCACTGGTACTGGATCTACATGTATTGTGGAGTGTGGCCTAGAAGATGAAGAAGGGAGAGTAGACTTTCTGGTAGAAGATGGAGCATTGTCTGAAGAGAGAAAAGATTTTAAAAGGAAGGGAAAGAGAGATGTAATGGAATCAGATTTACTCAAATCTACTGATAAGTAATTTATTTTGCTCAAATTTTACATTGAAGTAATAGAATTAGCAAAATTCTTGACAGAAAAAATTTGCTGAATGACCTTGTATTTGTGGGTCAATGCCAAATTTAAAGGGCAAAATTTGACATGTAGATGACTGTAAAAGAAAACTCACTTTTTTTGAATTTCCTAATCTTCGTTCTCCTCTTATTCAGTTTCTCTCTTGTATCGCTGACACTCTCAAACTCCGGTGCATAGCAGACGTGAAGGTCCTTACTGAAGAAGTAGTGATTGTCCAGTTTATTTTTTGCTAGTTTTGCGGACTCGATCTCTCGGTATTTAATGAGGTACACGTCAGTGTATGGCTCACAGGGGTACTCATCCAATATCCTGTACCTGTCAGCGGGAAAAAATATTTCAAAATAATTTAGAATAGAAAATAAACATTTTGATGCATATACATGTACTTGGGTTGCGTAAAAAGTTTGAGCTGATTCAAATCAAATTTGGATTTTTTACAAGTTTTTAAGTTACTCAAAAATCAGACAAAAGTCCCTGTACTATAGTACAGCATCATTGATCAAATTTCATCAAAAATGGCGAGAGAATTCTCCATTTTTATAATTTTTTCTGATGCATATACAAGTTCTTATGTTCTCCAGAAAGTTTGAGCTGATTCCAATCAAAATTAGATTTTTTTATGAATTTTCAAAGTTGCTTCAAAAATTAAAAAGAAGCATGCATGCATAGTACATGCAATGGTGCGTTTTTGCAACCATGAGGAGAAATAATAATAACTAGTAATAATATAACAAAAGTAACTGCATGTATACACTGCATTGTAGTACTTTATTATCATATAAATGATCAATCATATTTGCGATCAATTATAGTTTTAACACTTCACATCTGCCAAGAAGGAGCTTCTAATTAATACTTATTTTGTGACAGAGCCAAAATCCCAGTTATAATTACACAAGCCACTGCCAATAGTAGGACTGTGTGGATTGGAAGTAAGCCAAATTAAATTCTATTTCACGGACGGCAAGAGAGAAATAATACATGCAATGGCTCTGTTATAACAACATGCAAGACTAACAAAAGAATTAATGAGAGAGAAAAATAAACAGAAAATTTTATAAAATAAAACCAGGAAGGTCATATTAAACAAAGGTCATATAATAATTATCATCATCATTATATAAACTCTGAAAAACACAAAATTGTTGCATAAATCTACTACATGACACATTGGCCTATTAGTACAGGATAAGATAAAGAAGGAAAAGAGCTTGACAGAACAAAGCATGCCAGAATAAATCTACCATTAAACAAACTGATAAATGTACATGCTAATATATGTAAATTGATAACTGTAGGTACTAAATTTGAGGAAAATGTAGCCAATTAAAACATAAAATATTGTCCATTTTATTAAACTCACTCTTCTATTTCTCCGTATAAGGAGAAGAGCTCCATCAAATCTTTCACAACTCCTAGAGAAGGAACGTTCAAAACTAGTAAATACCGGCTCTCCTGGTTAATGGTGTACACCTGTGGGGAGTCTAAAATACTGAGTGAGGGCCTGGACTCACTTTTACGGCCCTTTCTTGTCGTGGGTTTCGATATTCAGGCCGATTTGTACAAGTATCTGCTTGTTTATGATGGGCAAGAGAACCAGCCATTTTACCACGTGGGTTGCGTGGGTGGAGAGGAGGCTGACTTTATAGGCGTGGTTAAAATAAAAATGGCCGCCGGTAAGGATATTTTTAAAATGTTCTTTATGTATTTTAACCATTTTAGATGCTCAGAATAGGCGCTCAATATTACAGGGTCTTCAGCAGACTAGATCAAGGCTGCAGAAACTCCAAGAAGACAGGTTTGTGCGATAGAATACTATTTTAAGAATTTATTTTATTTTTCAGGTCTCCATCTCCAATAATGAAATCAAATCTTCCAGTACCTCCCCAGCCCTCGCAACCCCGCCTAACTCCGCCACTACCACAGGACTGTTCTAAGCAACAGAAATTTGCTCTTCAAGTAAAGCTGCTTTTAAAATTAACACGTTTTCATGAATGCAGCAGCATTTGCAAATTTACATGTACATGTAGCACAAAAATTCTTGTACATTCAAAAATAATTGTAACAGTTTACTCCGCCTCTTTTTTTACAGCAGGCGATGTCCCAGTCTCATGGATATTATGTAAGCGAGCCGTCGCCTTATGGAAATTATCTCATTCCCGTACTTCCAAGATTCGATTCCGATGGAAAATTGGTACCAATGTCATGAAAGATTAACATTACGTTTCGTATTGTCTCATTTTTCGGTGAAATAAAGATCATTATTATTTTTGTGACATTATCAATGTCACAAAAATAATTCACATTCACATTCTTCTTGTATTATAAACGCTTTCAACTGTGCAAAAATATTATATAAAAATAATATTTATTATTTATAAAATCAAATATTATTATTATTAAATATTATATTTTTATTTTTAAAATTATTATAATATTATATAATATACCATATACAACCACACAATATGAACACGACAGACGAGAGAGAGAGACAAAAAATATCGAAAATAATTTATCATTACATCATGCATTATTAATACTAGTGGGTGTGGTTTTAGAGAGTGGGCGGAGCAAATAAGAGAGAGAGAGAGAGAGTGAATGAGATATGTATTATAGCAGAAATACTATGTTACAAATAGAGAAAGATAACTCTTATAAGAGAGAGAAAGAGAGGTATGGGTGACTGAGTGTATGAAACTATTACAATAGTTATTGTATTGTATCATTCATTGATGAGTACATTGTTCGCTGATACGTCTTTTTGAGCCGCGTCTCTTTTTCGGAGGTTTCGGTGAGGGGATTGGGCCAATCGCAGTTACACCCAACTCATCGACACTTTTAGAAGTAGGAAAAAGAACTACAAAGAATAGAAATGTGAGATACTGTACATGCAATTTCAGACATTTATTACAAAAAGGCATAATAGTAGTAAAGGGGGTTCTTCATATTATTTTTAAAATGCTTATACTCTAAAATTATTTGTCGGAATCAGCTCAAACTTTCTACAGAGCATAAGTACCTCAATATGTATCAGAAAATGTAATAAAAATTGGGGGTGATTTTTGAGCCATTTTTCAGAAAAAACCATGGGCTATAGTACAGGGATTTTTTCAGAAATTGGCTATTTTTTTAAAATGGCCATAGCTCGAAAAATTTTAGTCAGAATCAACTGAAACTTTCTACAGAGCATAAGTACATCAATATGTATCAGAAAATGTAATAAAAATTGGGGATGATTTTTGAGCCATTTTTTGTAAAAAACCATGGGCTATAGTACAGGGATTTTGGCTCTTTTTTAAAAATGGCCATAACTCGAAAAATTTTAGTCGGAATCAGCTCAAACTTTCTACAGAGCATAAGTACATCAATATGTATCAGAAAATGCAATAAAAATTGGGGGTGATTTTTGAGCCATTTTTCAGAAAAAAACCATGGGCTATATAGTACAGTAAATCCACAATCTTAAAGCCTCCTTCCCTCTCTCCTCCTTACCATTCTCCTGTGAGTGTACTCTTGACTTCCTACTAGCTATAGTATCCAGAGACCTCTCATGAGAGACTGACGCTAGACTCTGTGTAGCCGATGGTATCCCAGTACTGCTCTCCTGAGTATCAAACAATGCCTCCTCGTCCTGTGAGTCCCAGCGTCCAGTAGCTTCCAGACCAGCCACTCCCTCGTAGTTGTAGAATGACTCGAGGTAAGGTATGACGGTGCTTCCACGATATCTGTCTTTTGAGTCTTGGTAAGGAGGGAATCGAACCAGCTCCTCTTTTAATGGTTTTGAGTGTTTCGATATGAACCAACTGAGAGAGGGCAGAGAAAGAGAATATGTAATACATGTACAGTGTACATGTACATGTAAAATCATTTTTATTATCATTATTTAAATATAATTTTTTGTCATTTTTTATTTTTCCTCTTTCTCTCCCCTCTCTCTATCTCTCTCCTACTGTATCTCTTCATCTTTTTTCTAGCTATTTTTTTTCTAGCTATTTTTTTTCTCTCTCTCTCTCTCTCTCCCTCCCTCCCTATTCTCACGTGTGTCTTCTTATTTGTTCTATATCCAATCTCTTATCAGGATCTTTCAAGAGCATTCCTAATTAATGACAAAAACCATAGAAATTAATACAGTTACAGTAACTACATGTACATACACTAGTTGGCTCATGTACATGTACACATGTAACTTACATGTATAACTATTAATATTATAATTGTTAATAACTACATGTATTTTTACATGTAATTATTAACAACATTTTAATGAGCAGCTACAAACATCAAAATCCTTAAATACAAAATGTATTATAGCAGTGCTAAAGTAACTATTAATAACTATTAATTAACCTCTAATAAGGTCCTGTAGTACGGGAGGTAGTTCAGGTGGTAGAGTGTAAGTGCATTGAGATATCACCGCAAACAATTTATAAACTGATTCACCCTCAAAAGGAAACTTCCCTGTTGTGAAATGATACCTAATGGAAATACAAATGTACACATCATTGAAATTAGTACATGTAGTTTAGTATTACATGTACATGTACATGTACTGATGCTGGCTAATGTTACTAAAAAATCGGCTGTACTATAGTACAGGGTCATTGGCCAAATTTCCCCAAAAATGAAAAATGGAGAATTCTCCATTTTTATTACATTTTCTGATGCATATACATGTACATGTACAGTACAAGTTCTTATGTTGTGTAGTAAGTTTGAGCTGATTCCGGCCAAATTTGGATCTTTTATAAATTTTTAAAGCTACTAAAAAATTGGGCCAAAGTCCCTGTACTATAGTACAGGGTCACGGGCCAAAATTCGCCAAAAATGACTAGGAGAGAATTCTCCATTTTTATAATTTTTTCTGAAACATATACAAATTCTTATGTTGTGTAGCAAGTTTGAGCTGATTCCGATCAAATTTGGATTTTATATGAATTTTTAAAGCTACTCAAAAATCGGGCAAAAGTTCCTGTACTATAGTACAGTGTCACGGGCCAAATTTCACCAAAAATGACTAAAAGAGAATTCTCCATTTTTATAATTTTTCCTGAAACATATACAAGTTCTTATGCTGTGTAGCAAGTTTGAGCTGATTCCAATCGAATTTAAATTTTTTATGAATTTTTAAAGTTACACAACTCAGACCACTTACAAGGTAACACCAGATGCCCATATATCAGCTTTAAATCCCGACCAGTTATCCTGCCCTGATGCTATCTCTGGTGACTGAAAGGCGGGACTACCTTGGAAATTACAGCACCTGTCGGACTGACTGAACCGATCCAACTCCTCCGCTACCCCAAAGTCTGATATCTTCACCACCTGCATGGGCATTAAATAGAACATGTAACTAACATAAAATTTAATGCTAAATGTACATGTACATTTACTTGTCAATTTTTAACTTATAAGTTTTAACTTTAACTCACTTACATGCATAAGTTATTGCTTATGTACAAAAAATTATAATAAAAATTTAAAATAAAAATAAAAATAAGTACATGTACATGTACAATGTACTCACGTCGTCAGTGGTTAATAGAAGATTGCCCGGTTTAATGTCCTTATGAACGATACCACAGCTGTGTAGATACTCCAACCCTTCAATCAACTGGACAAAATACCTGTAAAAAACACACGCCCACAAATAATAACCACACCCATAAATAACAACCACACCCACTAGCAACCACGCCTACTCACTTGTGTGCCTGCCAGATTGGGAATTTATTTCTTGGTGCTTTGTCGAGCATTTCTTGTAGTCCTCCCACGCAGTATTCTAAGACGATGTAGAGTTTTTGCTTGTTGTCATCAGAGAAGACATCCAATAGTTTAATCACGTTTCGATGATTGAGTTTCTTAAGTATCTTTATCTCTCTATTTGAAAAGGAGAGAGAGAGAGAGAGGGAGAGAGAAGAGAATAAAGATAGAACATTACAATAGTATTAGTAAAAAGGAAAATGCTTTGATGCGTTGACTAAAGGATAAAAGTGGTGATTAAAAGATTAAAGCAAATGTACAAGTACTTGGATTTCAGGCAGTTTTTAAGGCGCTTTGTTGCGCCTGCTTTGTTGATACAGCTGAAATAATGCGCATTCACACTAGCAGCTGGATTACGTATCATCTTGTGTTCTTGTCCCCATTGGTTTACATGAGCATTGATATGAAACCACTCTAGTGTGAACACGATAATGAACATTCTTTTGCAAGTGTGAAAAGACCTTTACACATGAAGCTAGAACCTACACCTACTGTACATGTACTGCACTTCATGTACACAATGTACCTTCTGACGTTCTCTTCTCCATTGAGTATTCTCGATAGTCTCCTTTGCTTCATTATCTTCACTGCTCTCCTACACAGTGTGACACAGTCCAGCATCTCACGCACTTTAGAATAAGCACCAACGCCTAACAGGTCACCCTATAAGAGGAAATACATGTAAACTATACAATGTACATGTATATGTATTAAATGTACATGTGCATAACATGTACTCCATAGAAGGAACAAAGGCATTCACACAATGGAGTTTAGTGTTACATATTGAAAGGTGACTCCTTAGGTGCTTCAATTAGTACCTGAACCACTTTCATTGTTTATCACAGAACATGTACAGACATGTACATGTATGTACATACAATGTATATGTATATGTATATGTACATATACATCTAAATCTACAGTACATTTACATAGGTAGTTTAACTATTAACTGTGTCATTATTACTGTCTGTCAGTATTTTTATAAAATTTAGACAAACTACATGTACATATGTACATGTACATTAATGACATACATGTATTACAAGTTTTTGTGTTTTTGTGTACATGCTATAGCTTCATTGTTTGTGTTATATTTCCCTCTCAAAATTCACAGAAATTTATGACATCACATACATACAATTAATATACATGTACATATACAGTACATACATGTACATGTACATGTATACTTGCCTTTAGGTATCTTTCCCCTACAATCTTTGCCTGTCTCTGAGGTTCTTCATACACAATATCCCGCGAGTCGTAGCGCGGGAAGTCGGTGAAATCGTCTCCGAAATGATCTTCTCCTGGTTCTTCGGGTATGGGGCTCTCGATAAGTTGGGGATGATTGAAAAAGGGAGAAGGGAGGTCCCCACTGCCGGGACTCATTCCGCTGGTGTAGTCTCTGTCCCGTGAAGAGTGAGGCTGGGGAGAAGAATGAATGTAGTCACTAGTGAGGGGAGAGAGGGGGAGAGGGAGGGGGAGAGTGAGGGGGAGAGGGGGAGAGAGAGAGGGAGAGGGAGGGATGAAAGGGAGGGAGAGAGAGAGAGAGAGAGAGAGGGGGAAGGGATAGAAGGAAAACATTAAATTGAACCAAAAATGATAGAGATGGTATGCTTAAAATGACTGCAAAGATGTACATAAGAGAGGAATTATCATAGACGTGTAGTAATAAGACAAAGACAAAAGGTTATATAAACTGTATGTATCCACACATACTGTACTATTAATTAGAGCTACATATCTACATTGCAAATGTACATGTGTATATCAGATGTCAGCTTCCAAGAAAATTATTATCATTAAAGCAGCAATAGAATGTAACACAATATAAGGAGAGAATATGTACAATCCTACATGTACATGTTCAGTATATTGTACAAATGTAACTGGAATACTACATGGAATTAAACCATAGCTATACAACACAGAGTGACCAATGGGACCACAGAATATGTACTATTATACCACATACTGTACATGCATGTATACATACTAGAGGCTTCAACAGTTATCAATTATTAAATTAAGACTATACATAAAGTAATGGCTATTATATTATTATACATGTACATGTACAAATGGTGAGTTAATATTATTTACAATGTATTAGTAAAGCCACTTCAATACAATGCCAAGTAGTAGAGGATAAATGGATTCAATCCAACTACAATTGTATTACATGTACATGTACATAAACATACACATGTACATGTACATGCATGTAATGTGTGTGCATTTACATGTACATGTACGGTATAATAGGGAGAAAAAATACATGCATTCTTAGACACATGTGACTGCTTATCAAGTAATTAAAAGAGTAATTATAATAATAATTATTATTGTCAATTAATTAATAATATTCTATAGCACTGAATAAATAAAAAGCTTCAATAATAATAATAATATTATTATTATTATGCTGTACATGTACATGTACATGCAATTAAAATAACAAGAAAAATATCTAACAAAATAAAAGAAAACAAAACAACATACAATTAACACAAAAACACAGTAATAGATGTACATGTACTACTACAGGGTTTAGGGTTTAGGGTACAAAGTCTAGTCTCAATTTTAAAACTCCATTTCTCAAAATATACTAAAATATATCAATACCGCCTTTCTTACAAGAGCCCTTCAATTAAAATTCGCTTTCTTGATTGTGTACACTTACTGAGGAGATGGTGGGGAGACATCGATCGTGATCCCGTGCCCTCTACCACTCCCTCCTCTTCCCCCTCCACTAGGAGGATGAGGAGGGGTATTCATCATTGCTGTAGCCATTAGACTAGTACACACCTTTATGGAGGAAGAGAGAGAGGGAGTAGAGTGTAATGGAGGGGGTTTAAAGGTATTGGAGCGGGTACTTGTGTCAATCTGTAGCTCTTTTCTTTATCTTGTTCTTTAGCTTCAGTTGTAGGGAGAGAGTGAAAGGACGAGACGTCAAGAGAGGGAGGCTTTACACATAAACTGCTGGCATCTTCCTCCTTTGCTTAAGGCCACGCCTACTTAAAATGGGCGTTGCCATAACATTAATAAACCGCACCCATAAAAATGGCCACTCAGTCCAGCAAAATTTAATAATACCGGTAGTTTTTTACTGCTGGAACCGTTTTTAACTTAATAAAAAATAATAATAAAATTGTAAATAATATTATTACAAAATTTACACCACTTAATACAAAGAGCTAAAAAAATTAATACAGGTAATAAAACAGCGAGAGTTGCGTCGAAAGTCACTAGTGGAGTGGCACACAAAAAATTGTGACAAAACTACACATCAACAGAAACACTGAGCTAAATACAAAAGTTGTGTTATGTAATTTTTCTCTTAATCTTTGTGCATCCTACATAAAATGTACATAAAGGTAGCAGCATATTCATAACATTGTACATATTCACTAACTTATGTTTTCAGCTACATTATTTTCTCCAATAGCTTCAAGTGCCTGAACTAATGAGCCCCATGAAGGTAAAACATCATCAGCTCCTGCTAACCATTTCACAAGTGTTTCCCTGAGACACCTCCTGTCATCAGAATAATCATCTTCAATAGCTTGTAAAGTTTTAGCATATAGCCCTAACTGATCACCAAGATCAAGCCACTTTGACTCATAAAGATCACATAATGATAAATGTACATCTCTTAAACAAGTGATGTCCAAAATATGGTGGGCATCATTTACTAAAAAATAATTATATAAAAATTGCATGTGCATGCATCACAACAAAACATGGTTAAATAACATACCAATAATACAGGTTTCTTCCTGTGGCAGTTTAATTTCTACAATAATGATAATAATTTAACACTCTCTGCCTTCCCCAAATATAATCATTAACTCACTGCGTATATGATCAGCTATAGCATTTTGACCTAATGTTTCAAAAGCATTAGCAAGAGAGACATAGGTTGCTCCACCATTTTGATCTACACCATCGACTCTTAGTAACCATGAAGCAAGACACTCTGTAAGAGTAGAACTTCTGGTGTAACTCTGCTGTATGTCTGAGAGTGTTGGATGTTTATATAGACCCAACTCTATACCAAGTCCCTCCCAATCACCATTAAAATGACATTCTCTGAGTAATGTCAATACATCTTTAAGGTCAGTGATGTCAAGTGTCTTTGGGGTAGTCTCGCGAGCTAACTTTGGAGCTACATGTATACATAAAATATCATTCAAATTAAAGTTATACGTAATTATACATATAAATCAGAGATGTATCAATTACATTATCAAAGAGCTTATGTACAAACCCAAGCACTTTTTCAATAATTAAATTATAAGCTCAAGGCCTCAAGTACAATTACAAAATCTCTCATGAGCTTCATTGTAAGCTCAAGTTCTTTATCTAATGTATTTTAATTCCTTTGGAAGCTCTAAAATGACAAGCCAAATACTATTAATAAGAACATTAAGCGACTTCTCTCTGGGCAATTATCTTGCTTGCTACACTAAATAGCCTTGCGCTGCTGATGAGGCAGAAATAGACACAACAATTTCAGCTATTTTTGACCACAAATAATTAAGACCAAGCTCATATATACATGTACATGTATATACAATGTAATTGTAATTAAGTACAAGCCCAAGACCATGTTCAATTCTTTCTAAAAGGCTTTAAAGCACTTCTGAGCTTAAGCCCAATAGGGTGTGATACATCCCTGACATGCACAAACTGTGACTAACAACAAAAATGAAAGTTAATTTTAATATTACCTTCAGTTAAGCTCTTATGAGTAACATGAAACCAATTCCAGTACTCTTTTCTCCCACTGATAAGAGCTGGTCTTGGGCATAAAGTACATTCAACTTTCTCTTCAGCTTCATTTGTGACAATACAATAGCAATCTTTCATATCACAGCAAGCAAAGGCAAGCTTATGAAGAGGCTTCAAATTAATGACAACATTACTGCTGCGAATAGCTTCTGTTACTGCTTCACAGATAAGCGGACAGTATTTCAGTTCATTGGTATCAAAATGAATCTCAATGTGTCTGTGTTTCTTAATGAAGTGAATGGTGCCAATAAATTCATCATGAACACGAACTCGAAACGACATAGCATCACGATATCTGAGATATTCTTGAGAACCTGGAAAAAATTGAAATAGTGGTTGATTAAGCTTCATTAAATTGACAACTGCCAAAGGGAATATTCCACGGGGAACAGGCAAAACTTCTTTAGTGACAGGATTGAGCCAGACTATTAGTAATGGGTTGATGATATCTGACTTTGGGAGAGAACCAGTAGATCCAAAAGGAGGCAATGCAAAAGGAGGCAATGCAAAAGGAATGAAGTAACCATCTTGTGTCTCAACAATGATGTGTAGGTGAAGCAAAAGATTGATAAAATCAGATTTAGAAAATCTCTGGTCATCTTTTAACTTATCCAGCAGTGATTCTGTGAATATGCCTTCCTTACTTAGTTTATCCAGTTCAGGTTCTGAGGGCGTCTCTCTTGTAAGGCGTCGCAAAAATTTTCGTTTAATTTTATAAGTAAGAGCTAATAGACGTGAGAGAATATCAAGAATAGGATGGGGATCAACGAACACTATGTCAGGTAAAACTTGAGGATAATAAAGAATAATGGTAACATTGTGAAGATATTCCAGAGCCTTTTTTGTATCGCCATCATCCATTTCCAGGCTCCTACCAATAGACAAGACATCATTCATATGAAGGACACTGCTATTTCCTGCTTTCTCTAGCAAAGTCAGCTCAAAAGCAAACCATCGAACTGGCAGTTGAATTGTATCATCAAAAGTATCATCTAAGGTATCGTCATCAAAATCAAATATTGTATCACAAAGATTCTTGGATTCTTCCTGTCTTTCGGGGCCAGGTTTGAGCATTGTATTGACTGGGTATATGATGTCTCCATTTTGTTCTGCAGGAATGATGGAATAGCCTTTTTTGCCAGATGTTAATGATGATATCTCTTTATTAAATATTGCAATCTTTTGCTGCGTGGCTTTAGCATCATCACTGTGTGTACCTAGAACAAAATATTCTGGAGTTGCAGCATCTTCTTCTGAATGTGGTGAGTGGTAAAGCTGCAAATTAGCCCCAGAGGAAAAAACACCCCTTAAAAATTCAATATTTGTATACGAAAAATTTGAATCACAAGGAAATGATGCTCCATCAATTCTATATTGCAGATCAAGCTTCTCATCCACACCTTTAGAAAGGTCTATTGTGATGATATTAAGAGAAGCTGCTCTAGTAAACAAAGGCAATAACTCTTGAAATGCTGTCTGACCACCAGAATCAACAATGTATACCCAATTACAATTTAAATTAGCTTCTGCATTTGGGATGGCCTCTACAATATCTTGAAGTACCTTATTAGAATGATAATCATTTGCTGAATCTGCTAATCTTGCTACTTTTTCTGTTGTATCAGCTGATTCTGTTGCTTCAGTCTCGGGACTACCAGTAGGAATGTTATCTGAAGATTCCCCCTTTGATTTTGTGCCATCACAGCCTCCTGTTGGTACCAGTGTTTCCTTTAGTTTTGATGCAGATTCTATTAAATCACATGCCAACCTTGAAAGAAAAGCTTTGGCATCAACTCTCTTCATATGACCATTTTCAATTGATGTTCTTGTGGCTTTGACAGCACGGCAAGCTATTGGTGTACTGTCAGTGACATCTTCAGGTGGATCTTCATTTAGTAGGAGAAGTTGAGAACACGTTTTACCAGAGCCAGGAGGGCCAAGCATTTGAACGCGTTTAACAGTTAGATTAACTGTGCCTTCTTTTAACCATTTGGCTAGAGCATCTGTAAAAAACAAAGAAAGGACTTTTTTTGTGTGCATTGACTGACTAAGTTTTGTGACCTATAGAGACATAGTTCCAAGTCATTCCTAATTGTTTTCACGGCCCACATTGTACATCATCAGTCAACGAGCCACATGCAGTCATGCATACATTAGCACATAAGAGACAGTACTAAAATATTGTACATCACCAGTCATGCAAACCTAAATACTTCATAGCACCACCAAATGGCACCCATTATGTAGTAAATGTATGACATGCATCTATATACACTAGTACTTACATTTGTAACTACACTTGCTAATTAAATTCAAGTGGCAATAATTATTCTCATTACAGAACCATAGCTGAAAAATCATTAGAAGATGTCCCCAATAAATGCGCAAATCTCACCTTGTTCAATTGAAGTAACTTCTTTCTCATTTGTTGAATCTCTCAAGGGAACACTGCTTCCACTTAATTGTTTAAGAATTGCATAATAAGAACACGAGAATTTCCTCACCAAAGGCTTTTTGAAAGAAACACAAGGTAATCCAAGAGGAGCATCAGGAGATTCATCAGTTTTTTCTTCAAAAAATGGTATCAAATTTTGAAATGAATCTAAATTTAATAACTTGGCATATTCCTTTTCATATTCCAAAAAAAGCTTGTTGATCTCATCACCACCAATGATTAGCCCAGATAATGCCTTTAATAGCTTGTAATTGAGGTAACCAATGAAATCACACCTCCTTAGAAACTCAAAAAAGCTATTAAAATCACTTGCTTTCTCAAGAATATCAATGCAGGGAAGTAAATAAGAAACAGCAAGAGCTTTTTTCTTCAAGCTTTTTTTTATCAAAGCTTTGGCATCTTCTACATCAATACAATGATCTCTAAGTGATTTTCTAACTGCAAAAACAAGAAAATCATATTTCTCTTGTAATTTACTAGCAATCTTTTCCAACTCAGGAACCTTTTCAATTTTGTGCTTAAGATTACAAACACCTACAAATACATAAGTTACTCTGTTACTATAAGTATGTATTTTACCTGGATTAGCAGGAAATAATGTAAAATACGCACATGCAGGTAAATTTGTTAGGTGCCCTATATTAAAACAAAAAGTACAATGTAACTATATATGTAATTATGTACATGTACGGTACATGACTACATATACATGTACATGTGTGTGTTGACATACAAGCTTTATCAGTTACACAAGGCTGGCATTTACAGCATGCAGTAATTTGGAGGTAGGGTAACTGCATCATTTCTTCTGGAAGTGTTTTGAAAATTATTTTTATATTTATGAATATTGCTAAAATTGCTCTTATTCTCCATTATAAATTCAACACTGGTAACACTGAAGACAAAAATTACCCTTGCAAAAATAATTCAAAAAACAAAATAAACTTGACAAAATTACCTGAGAGGTTGGCAATGGGAGGACAATCTTTGAGATTACTGAAAGTTACCAGGGTTACGAATAGATTACTAAGCTAAAACTATGAGTCGATTACCGTATAGCTAGCTCCAAATTTTCGTCAAAATCTTATTTTTTGTCAATAAAATTTTTGTGTGCATTAATCCACATACGGTACATGTGGAAGAAAAATTTTGTCGGTTAAAAATTTCGTCAAGCAAAAGTACTTGACAAATTTAATGAAAATTTTTACCAAAAATAATTTGGAGCTACATGTATATGCTACCAAGAGTACATAATCTTGACGCCATAGGGGTAGGAACAAACTAAAAGTTGGGGGGCTAAGGTATTATTTATTTACAATCATAGGAGCATGATTTAACAATTGATCATTAATACATAGCATGTATTGAATTAATATTGTCCAAAATATTGGCGTCTATGCTCATTAAATGTAACAAATTCCTTTGCAATGTCCTCAATGTGTATTCTTTTAATGTATTCTCAATGTAAAGTCTTTGTGTGTATGCAAAATAACAACATGATTAAGATGCTCTTGTGACATTGTGGAGTGCTAGTAGTTTTTTAATCTCCTTAACGTCAATAATCTATGCTCAGCTGAAGCTGATGTTAACAGAGTTGTTAAATAAAGAAGTAGAAGCTTGTGTATTTCTGAAAAAAATAATAAGAGTGCGTGTTCTTAGAAGTTAAGATAGTGTATTAAATGTTTTATGAAACGAATCATCACACAATATGCACACATATAAGGATTACCTAAACTAAAGTCTATAGTGTTGATAATAGTAATACATGTATATCACTTAAAGTTGGGGGGGGGGCTAAGCCCCCCTTCAATGAAAGTTGGGGGGGCTTAAGCCCCTCCGCCCCCCCTGTTCCTACCCCTATGCTTGACGCTACCTAGATTATCAGTAGATTCTTTGGATTACCGGGGATTACAAATGATAATTACTTGATTATATTGAAAGGTATGGCTAAGGTATTAAGCCACACCTCTATAACTTATTGTGGGTGTGGTCTTAATAATTTAAATTAATAACTCATGGGTGTGGTTAACACTCCCAAGTATATTAAGGTATTAGGATTACTAAATTCTTCCAAGGTTACTTGGGTTTTCCTGCATTACCAATGAAGTTCTATTATAAGCCTGTTGCCAACCCCTCAAAATTACCAAGATAACAGAAATGTCTCAGCCTATATTAGGGGCTTCGCTCACTTTGTCTTTCTTCATTAATACCATCAGCTACAGCATTCTCTCCAATTTCTCTAAGAGCAGTAATCAGTGCATCTATTGTACGAGGCTTAGGAGTTTCCACACGATCAGCTTTACGCAACCAGCTAGTCAAACACTCTGTAAAACAAGAATGAACATCTCTGTGGTCTTGTTCTAGTGTATTGTTGTGCAGATGAAGACAAAGTTCATGATATGATTCTTTGCTGTACTGATGCCTCTCAAGTAATGCAATTACTTCATCGAGATCTATAATGTCTGTAATCAGCAATAATAAAATGTTCTCTAGACTATAGAGTCTATACTCACTTTATTATTATTATTATTATTATTAATACTTTACAACACATAATACAGAGAGCAAAGATACAAGTGGTAGAACAGAGAGAGAGTTGTGTTGAAGGTCTAACACCAACTAGTGGAGTAGCCTTGATGAGTATAAAGAGGAGACATACATACATTAATCAAAATAAATTTAAAAGATACATACATTAGACACAAGCACATAAACTACACGGACAGAGAAAATGAAAAGAGCAAGTATTGTTTGAATCAAAGTGTGAGTGGAAGTGATGCCAAAAATGCCTTAAAATCTGATGCTTGATGTGGGAGGGAGACTTAGAGATATCAATGTGCGGTAGTTTATTCCAGAGCCGAACAATCCGATGGAAGTAGAAATGGTGTGATTTGGAAGTAC